ATGATTGGTGATTTAAGTGTCAAATTTCAAACGATTTGGCTAAGCTGGGAAATAGTCGTATAGCTTCTGTATTTGGGTGTAATCTGTAACGTTCAAACTTTTTTACACTTTGTTATAGTTATAGACACACTCTATAGTCTATGCACTAGACACGGAGCGGTTTTAAGTCAGCTGCCTTTTTTTTTTTTTTTAGGGGCCTCATAGCCTAGCGGTCTTATTAAGTGACAGCTAGGTGAGGGGTACCAGGTTTCAATTCCGGTTCGAGGGCAAGTTTTAATTTAATTTAAATTTGTTCTCGGCCTTTGGGAGGGTTGTGCGGTACCGGGCGAGTGCTTAAACCGTACATGGAGGACACGGTCGAATTTCTAAAAGACAAAGCACGAATTATAAGAAATCCTATACTTGACGCTGGCTAATGCACAAATCGTGCCAGAGCCTTAAAAAAAAAGTCAGTTTTTGCCGCGCACCGCCAATATGTGAACCAACTGAAGTATTTCCGAACCAATTCGACTAAAACTAAAGTAGTAATGAGTCCATGACTGTAAGTGTCCATGGGCACTTTAATAACCATCAGGTTTGTCCATTTGCCTCTTGTTCTATAAAAAAAAACTTATGTTTTATATACACAGTATCATTTATGTGCATAGCTGTGAGCCTATGCGTACCTAATGTCATATATTTTTCCTCAAACCGTACATATTAGCATAAATTAATCAGCGAATGCAGGAATTTCAATTCTTATCACATGTCCTGCTACCTTTGTTTGCATTACCATAAGAAGGCATTTTATCATTACGTCAATGCATAATCTGCATTTAATTTTCAAGATTCCAATAAACGTCATATTTTTATATTATGCCTTAATATAGTATTATTGGTATATTAGTAAGTGTATTTTTAGTATATTTATATTAGTTGGCCTAGTGGCTGCAGCGTGTGACTCTCATACCTGAGGTGGTATGTTCGATTCCCCGGGCTGTGCACCAATGGACTTTCTATGTGCGCATTTAATATTTGCTCGAACGGTGAAGGAAACATTGTGAGGAAACCGACATTTCTTAGACCCAAAAAGTCAACGGCGTATGTCAGGTACTGGAGGCTGATCACCTACTTGCCTATTAGATTTTAAAATGATCATGAAACAGATTCATAAATCTGAGGCCAAGACCTAAATAGGTTGTAGCGCCACTGATTTATTTATTTATATAGTATTATACCTCATTTATACAAAAATAATTGCGACACACAGTTGTCCAATAACCCCAATTTTTTTTTTATGTATTCGAATTCAAACATTTTTTAAATTGAATTAGTAGTTTATATTATATATTATCTATTTAAACAATTTCAGTATATAATAAGTACACAAAACATTACTTACTTACTAAATTTATTATTTTTATATATGTTTTCAGTGTATAGTTAAAAATAAATTGTCAATACTCCCAACACTTTCCGTCATTTGTTGACAGGCTTTAGGTTAATATTAGTAACTTACTAAATTCTGACCTCCATTTTTATTATTTCATCCGACTATTTTAAAAGCTTTACAAAAGACAGACCGATCCAAGGGGCCAATCATCCCTAAATAAATTTTAATATCTTGGACATTATCTACCGCATAGACTGAGTGAGACCGACTGCGCTGTTAAGGATAAAATTACTTGAACAGATATTTTATAATTTTTAGAACTTTTGTTGAAAGTAAATTATAGCAACATAATTAGAAAAAAAATTGACATATAATAAATAATACTAAAGTTAGCCACATTTTTAATATTTTTTTTCAATTTATTAATTAGAACTAAAAATATTTTTTAAAAATACACTTATATTTAAATACACAATTTTTAAATTAATTATTATTGGAAATTTGGACACAAAGTGGAAAAATATTAATTCTTAATATTTTTAACAGTGGCTTTTAATCTTCATTATCATCATCGTTGAAATTAGATAATTCATCATCCACCAATCTTAAATTGAATATCTAAATCGTGATCGTCATCATCACATTATCCTTATTTTCTTCCTCTTAAAAACAAGTTAAACAATAAGGTCTGAAAAACTAAAAAGATACAAATAATATAGAAACGAAAATAATTTACCTGATTGTTCTTAACTACTAAAAACCCGTAATTATCTCCATCAACCAATAAATTCATATTTACCATCTTGTAGTGTCAGCATTGTTTTCGGGGTTGAAAATATTTATCATCTTCATACTTGCATTGTTCCAAAGACTAGCGATATAGCTAGCCCGTCGAAACTGTTGCCAAAGCTCACTTTTACAAGGTAGTAAGTTACTGGCATCGAAATTTCTTAAATTCTTTCGATTGAATTCCTCATTTATATCAGATACCATGTATTATTAATAAACACCTTATCTGCACATCTACATCAATTATTCCAGGAACGTTGTAAACATCACAATAAATTTTTGTCTTATGTTGAATACACGTTCTTCTTTCATCTACATCACCAACAAAATCCAACGTACCAAAACGGTGAAATGCTTGTTGGTAATTTTCATGGCTTTAACAGCCGCAGTCGATCTCACTCAGTCTCATGCGGTAGATAATGCTCCAGCGCTCCCACTCACAAGATATTAAAATGTAGTGTAGGGGATGATTGGCCCTGATCGGTCTGTCTTCTTTCAACTTTAAAATATTTCGTATAACATATATAAAAATGGAGCGTCAAATTTATGAAGTTGACTAATTATTTTGAGACCCTTAAAGCGTCTGTCAAGCAATATGGCCGACGGAAAGTGTCTGGGGGGTATTGACAATTTATTTTTAACTATACACTCGAAAACATATATAAAAATCAGCATAGTTTACGTGAAGTAAGTAATGTTTTTGTGTACCTTGATTACCTGATACTGGAATTGGCGTTTGACCTGTAGTAATATAGTACATACTAACACTACCCAATCGTGACATTTCATCCGTCAGAAAATACGTGAGTCTGCGCCCTGGATCTTGCTCTGTAAAATAAAGTCATTCTTATTAACTGTTCCAACTCCTTAACTACGCAAATAATATCTTATACAATTAATTTAACTTCTTTCTGACAATTCATAAGTGTACTTGTTTAACTACATGAATAAAGATATTTTGAGTTTATATTTATTTTAACGTTTAAATAACATTAGGTATGTATTTCTATTACGAAATGATATTTTTACATGAGAAACTTAATATAATACGTACGAAATGCACGCCACTATCAGACTGTTGTCCTAAATTTAGTCTTCTGGGCTCATTCTGATATTATCTCCATTTCTGCAATCAGCAAGGAGCTATTCAATAATTGCAATGATAAAATTAAAACCCGTTATTACGAAATAAAGCAGCATTGCCGACCACAGTAGATCTACATCTATATTTTAATCCACTAGTGGCTAAAGCGAGTGACTCTCAATTCTCAGGTTGTACGTTCGAATCACGGCTGTGCACTAATTTTTTTTCTATGTGCTCAAATAACACTACCTTGCACGGCGAAGGCAAACATCTTGAGAAAACTGGAATGTCTTAAAACCACAAACATTTACGACATTTGTCAGGCACAGAAGGCTGATCAGCTATTTGACTATAAAAATAAAAATGATCGAAGAATCCTATGCCATCTGCGATCTAGACCCAGGGTTGTAGCGCCACTGGATTATTATTTTATTGCGAAAATTGCAATAAAAATTGAATAATGTAAAATACTCAATAATTAAAATAGTACAACGATAAGGATCATAAAAAAAAATTATATACATGAATAACGTAATAATCCTTATATTACGTCATTTCATCCGGCTAACTGTAGTATAAAGCTACTAAGAGCAAAAGTCGATCTTTATAATACGAACATATTCTTTCGCAGATTCGTTTAAAATCATCCGGTTTCTTCGTTGTTTAATGTCAATATTAGAATCGTGAAAGTAGAATGAGCAGTGAAGTGTCAGATGTCAATATTCGTTCAAATTATCTTGGTGCGGTTGTGTTGAAAATATTTTATCTAAATTATTGTATTAAATTAGTAAAAATGGTGTTAAATTAAGGTAAATTCACCTTAGGTTTGTTGCTATGTTATATGGAAAAGTTATAAAAATAGCCTCTCATATAGTATGTGGAAATAATGAACTAAAGTAGTAGATGCAGCTTTTGTATTTTTCGATGGGATGACCTCACCAGTTAGATTTGTGACGATAATGAATTTATAGAGCTTGGAAGAAATTTTATGGTTGTGGTACTCGTAGTGTAGGCCGCCGTTAGTTTTAGGTTGGATTCGCCATTGACCTGAATTTAAGTAAGCAATTCATAAAAGGCTAGACACTTTTAGAATGTAATTGTACACCCACATATGTAGTGTATGTAACACGAGCTTTTAACTCTTAAATAAAATAATTGATATTAGCACTTTGCCAGTTTAAAGCATATCTTTTAAGTAAAAATTATTGATCATATTCTGTAGCAGTATTATTATTAATAATTAAATAATTTTAGCCTTTCAATTTCTAGAAGTTTAATCTAAATTTTGGGTTCTTTGAGTCATTGTATTTGGCAATTTTATACATCAAGAATAACTTTTTCATGTACATAGTTTCTGAGATAAAAACATTGTAAAGCCAATTAGCATGTTTCTAGTATGATGTCATAACATAATAAGAATATGACTGCTGACGAGGCTTATTACATTTTTTGTAACTAAATATACAGCATATACTTGTAGTAAAATATCTTATTTTACTAATACAATTATATATTTTTTCTGATTTGTATATTTAGACAATATACCTTAATTTTGGATGCTATGCATATTTGATGATTAAAACACTTCCAAGTTAAAGAATCTCTTATACTCATCTTTATTCTTATTAGAATCATTTGAAATATATAAAAGCTAAATAGTAATTTTCAAAAGTATCATACAATACATCAAACAGAAAAATATTTTTCAACAGTCACTGTCAAGATGTCCTAGAAGTGTGAGAGTGAATGGTCAATATGGCGCAAAATGGTGGTGGTGATTTTGGTGCAATATTGCAAGGTGCAGGAAAACAAATTTTCAACCAAGGGGGACAGGCGTTACTCAATTATGGGGCACAAGCATTGGGAAACATCATCAATGAGGTCTTCCAAAAGAAAGAAGCAGAACAAAAGCGGTTTTTGCCAAGCATTAAAAATTATAAAGTGGTATGTTTTATCCTTAGTAATAATAAATAAAAATAAATCAATGGCGCTACAACCTCTTTTAGGTCTTGGCCTCAGATTTGTGAATCTGTTTCATGATCATTTTTAAATCTAATAGGCAAGTAGGTGATCAGCCTCCAGTGCCTGACACACTCCGTCGACTTTTTGAGTCTAAGACATGTCAGTTTCCTCACAATGTTTAACTTCACCATTCGAGCAAATGTTAAATGCACACATAGTAAGAAAGTCTATTGGTGCACAGCCAGGGCATCAAACCTATGACCTCAGGTATGAGAGTCGCACGCTGAAGCTACTAGGCCAACACTTCTTATTATCCTTAGTAATAATATCATGTCTTATACCTTATATGTGACTAGGAAAATCTGTAGTATGCCTTCTTTTACTATGAGTATTATTGTATACCATTGGTTTATTTAAATATGTAGATTGTAGATGTAAGTACTAGTTTGAATTTCTAGTATGGAGTAAGAACTAATTCTGTTGACATAGTCAAAATTTGACAATTAGAAGAACCATATGTGGTTGTGAAATATGTCTGTACAAGTAATCAGGATTCGGAAATTAAATATGATCTCAGCTTTAATGGAATTCAATGAGCAAATAAATCATAATTATAAGGATTACCATTTACCACCCACATAGTTCATTCACACCTTTATTTTTATGTTGGTCATCCTTACTTCCATTATAACATTTAATTAAATCGAAATATATAAGGCCATCAGTGGGGCTCGGAGCAGATTTTTCACAGACATTTTCTGTGTATTCTATAGATTATTTAAATTTTATTAAATATTAACCTAGTGTTATTACCAATATAAAACATTAATAAAATAAAATTTTATTAAATTGAATTAAGGTTCTATTTTGAAATAATTGAAATCAGAAATAATTTAGGTTTACAGGGCACCAACATTCATTACCTATAGAGTAATTCATTTTCCTAAATATCATTATACATTTTATATTGTAATGCAACAAAGTGTAAATAAATAAATATCACAAACAAAATACATGTGCTATTACCAACAGGGATTTTATGTGATTTAACTGTCCGTTAACCTTATCCCAGATGTAGGAAAACGCGTTTGATTAAATTCTAATGTAAACAAGAAACGCATAGTGTTTGATCTGGCGGTTTCCTCAGTCGAAGGTCGCGATGTGTCATAGTAATTACTACGGTTTGCGAGCTATGTTTACCCCACCAGAGTCTATTACACTTCAGTGACTCAACTTTACAATTTAGTTTGAACACGTGATTTCTGACAAGCACCTTGTATAATCACCATTGTTTAAAAACATACACATCTTTCACTGCAATACAGGAAAGGGTAAATTGTCAATTGATAAACTATGGGTTTTCAATTTTAATTAAACTTTCAATAGTTATCTCCTATAAGAATCTTAATTCAGATTTTATGTAGCGTTCAAGCTTATTAGTATATGTTGCTGTAAAGCTCTAATTCCTTGTTTTATTAATTGATGAAGTCTGTAAGGTCTATTTTTGTGTAAACTCGGTGATTAATAATTTATATCTAGAAATATAAGACCTAAATATAAGCCCCCGTTGAAACCCCAAGAAACCTTTACTTTAAAACAAAATTAGGTAATATTTCTATTCTATCGGTACAATTGAAAATCCGCTAACAACGAACTTCCCACGATACGTAATGTCTGCATTGAACAAGATTCACATTGTCGAGTTAGACGCGTATAAATTTAATTGAAACCAGCTCGATTTGTTGCCCCATATATTTTGTTAATTATCATAATAGTATCTCAGAGACCAGTTATTTCTTGCCTAGTTCTATAATTGTATTACACGCTCGTATAATTTAAATTACTATATTAAGCTAGAATATAACGATTGAAAAAAAACCACGGGTTGCACTCCGGGAGTGCCGGCAGAAGTGGAAACTTGAATATTAACATTGCATTTTTGATATTTTGGTATGGTTAGGGTATAATTTTGCACGAATTGCTTTAATTTTAAGTATAAAAGTACTATCATTTATGTGGAAAAATACAACATTTATTTATTGCGCTATCGTACTAATTTATATTACATGAAATACGCCGCGCCAGCTGTCACTCTCCAAAAGTCTTACGAATTTTCGATCAGGTCACGTGTCCTGACGCGAGTTTAACATTTTGTACCCATTCCAAAAATTAAATGTACAACGCCGCTAAAGAAGTTTTTACTTCAACATTACAAAAATGATGAAATTTGAAAAATAATTGTCACTAAAAATGTTAAAGAAAGTATTCCCTCGTAAATACAGATAAAAGGATTCTACCGTGGGTTGGAAGTGCAAAAATAAACTCTGACATTCTGCCAAAATGTAAGAGATGGTAACCAGTACACAATTAATAGGAAACTAACGAAACAATTAAATTTATGATCTAATGAAATGATAAACAGGAAAAATACTTCGATGCTTGTCATATTGTTCTTATGCGACACTCGATCTTTCCCGACTGATTTTTACTATTTCTACACAAGACGATCGAGGTACGCTGAGGTTCACAATCTTTCGACAGTTTATAATCTCGCGAGATAGATTACAATCTAACGGTATTTTCAATTTTACGTTAACATATATATTACTATATACATATATTATTACTAACTGCCTTTCCTGCTGCCTTTTTTAAATTTTTCTCTCCAGAAAAATCTTCATTAGACTTCAAGTTATAATTTTTTTTTTAAATACTCGAATCGCAATACATAATTAGCGATTCATTTTAATGTATATAGATTTAAAACTTAATCGCTCGTTACATAATACTCGACGTTACGAGATCGAAGTGTTTCTCACGTATATTTTTATAAGAAAAATAAACGTAGATTGCGGTGATTATAAAAATTACAACAAAAAACCTTTATATATAATAATTTTAATGCAGGACGCGAAAATAACGTTTGTTATCGTTTCAAACCCTTGTCTATTGATTTAGGGTCGCATTAGTCGAGACGAAATGAAATGAAGCTCTTGCTTCTGAACAATTTATACTAAAACCATACACTGCCTGAACAATTGAGTTGGTCAAGTACCAAATACTGTGATGAGACGCAGAGCAACCAATGCCTCACTGGGTTAGGGAGCGTTCAAGTATTACGTAACGAATTTTGGGGGAGGGGGGGCCTTTTCTAAAACGTTACGACGCGGGCCGGGGATTGAATTACGCGTTATTGTTAATATTATTTTCGACTTTCCAGTACTTTACACCACATAATGGTAACTTTTAGGTATAAAGAGTCACTGGGTGGTCACGAAACGTTCTACCATTGGGTGACGTAATACTTGAACGCTCCCTTAACTTATATATAAACAAATAATCCAATAATTTGATAGCATTTATTGAACACTAAAGCTGTTGAGAATCGCAAACAAATCGTTAAATGTACAATTGTATTTTCAGTTCGTTTGATAAGGCATGTAAAATTGTTGTTAATGTAGAACAATAGTGATACTACAACTTATGATCTTAGTAATATAACGTTATGGATCTGTCGCAGCTTAATAAGCCGTTCAATTAACAACCTAGCCTTTTAACTAAACAGGGCCGTTTAACTAGCGGCCTGAAAGATATTATTTTCATGATGGGTTATATCTAAGGTCGCCGTATCTTATCTGTCCCTTCAATATCCCCAAACTTTCGTTAAAGCGATGAGCAATTCGCTTTATCGCTTTTCATGAAAATTTTTATGTCGTGACTATTATACGTCGTGTCGGTATTGATAACCTAAGTACATTTGACACACCTATCATTAGGTTGTCTATACACTATACAGAAAAATATATTTCAAAATTCTTATGTAGGGCTGGGAATGGGAACTTTTTTGTGGCTTTCTTTGGCGCTACCACGAACTTTCTTAAAACAATCCAGTTGAGATCCAGTTGAGTTTAGGTACCTAAAGTCAATAGCATTTTTTCGTACCATGACCGCCTATAAGCTGAAACGTATTGGCATCGCATGTACGAATGAAAGAACGATAATTTTGTTTGAGGTTTCTATGTAAGTTTTGAAACTTAACTGTCAGACTTTCTTTGTCTCTATAAAAATTAATAAAATGTAAAATTATTTTAAATAATTCATCAATCAAAATAAGCTATTATGTCTTAATATATATATTTATTTAAAAAAAAACTTTTCATATATTTTAAACGTAAAGTTTTCTGGTGCTATGATAGTTGACACTTATTATTTTTAAACGTTTCCGTCAATTTTGATAGTAGCTTTCAATACTTTGGTGTTTACAAAATTTCAGTTTTATTAATATAGTTTTACAAATTGTTTAACTTATAAAATAATATGATGGGGTAAGTATTGTTCACAAATTTGTTTATTAATAATAAATACCTATATCGAAGTGAATTCCTGATATAAAACCCTTTGCAAAAGATATTACAAATCAACTTATTACTCGAAAATCATAAGTAACTATAATAAAAATAAATTCTTTCAAATTGTACAAATTCAGTTTATACATTAACTAATTCATATAATATAAATAATTATATTTTCTTTACAGCATAAACCTGACAAACTCGCTGAATTGAGAGAATGAAATACATATATGAATATAATATGTTTATATCCAATTGAACATTGCCTGAAGACATCTTTTTCTATCTTGATTGAGTCATCCTAACTAAATGAATACTGTTATTATAATATTTTCAAATGGCTTATTATTTACACATTATAAATTTGAAAAATATCTATGTTTTTTTAAACAACAAAAAGCAGAGGAGAATAATAAAAATTTATGAACATAATGAGGAAAAATTTAATTGTAATAAATATCACCTAGTGATATGGCATTCTCATTTATTGTAAAAATTATATATTGGGGAATTATGTGTACACTGAAATCTTCAACGAATCAAAATCGTTAATCTTTAGCAAATGATAAACTCATCTACATCTCATAACTCGATGTCGGTAGAAGGGCATTGCCGTCTTGTTTCTATCTCCGTCGATATTTTAATAATTTATTTATAATCACACTCCCAAAATATCCGAAATATAAAAATTATATTTTTTTTTCCTATATTAGCCATAGTAGATACATCTTATTATTTTAACTTTATTAACAAGTTTTAATTAAAATATTGAATTTTATAGGTTCTAAACTATTATTTGGACATTTCGATACAAAAAAGATGAACAAAAAGTAACTTTTTTAGAATCGCTTATTCTGTCATAGTTTGAAGGCGCAACTGTCAAATTTCGGTTCAGCCGAGCGGTCATGGTACGAATTTTCATACAAATCGAATGAACGAAATCTGATAACCGCTAAGGTCACGTGGAAAACTGAACTGTCTCGTTTTTTCGATCATCAATCATCATGCATCACTAATTCGTACCAAGACGGTACGAATTAGTGATGCATCTCAGTTGTAGGTTGTCAATAGGCTCGCAATAAGAGCTCATGGTAGCCCCCAGACTTAAAAATAATATATAACGTTGAAAAGTATCTATATCAGATACAGTTAGTCAAATTACATTATTATTGTCTGTTTGTCCGTGTATTTTGTCTTACCTCATATCCATCCTAACAAATCGATATCAACTAATGCTTTCGACGTAGCGACTAATTATAATTATTGCGTTAGCTTTTAGCTAATTGGTCCCTTATCTAATTATGGGTTTTATTGTACCAACAACAGGTCCTTCATATAGTAAATTAACGCATTAAATTTGAACCACGCCTCAGTTATGACGTATTGTGTAGTATAGGGGTGAATTCTATGGCCCTTTTAAACTAAAAACTTTTCTTCTACTAATAAAATTATGGCTCATAATAAATAATAATGGCTAAATACCAATAAACATACAACCTATATATATCCTGTATATGTGTTTGCATGTTAACATGCATTACGGAAAAACTTTTAATCGACTGTGATTGCTTATGTAACCTGTAACAGGTTACATAAGTAACCTGTTTTGTATGTATGTTTTAGGTAACGAAGTATTAATAAACACAAACCGCAACCACAGTCGATTAAAAGTTTTTCCGTAATAAGTCAATGGGCGGTCTTATCGCTAACAAGCTATATCTTTCACCCAACCCTAGTATGGAAAAATAAAAAAAGAAATACCAACTGAGGGTAAAGTACAAGTGAATAAAAAAAATTACCAAATCACAAAATTACGTGTAACCGAAATTCTAAAAAAATAATAATATTACTATATACGTTGCTATCATACATTTTAAAGAGCCCTTAAACGAGCCCAAGTTCATCTTCATAACTTAACAGTTTTTTACAAAAGTAGGAAAGGATTTTTTTTAATTTGCATTAATCTCTAAGACAATAGTTCCCATCGACATGCTTATTAAACGTATTAGACTGCTTATGAAACGTTTTGAAGAGCTCCGTCTATTCGTAATAGAAGTAAAGAGTCATATCCCTATGGATTTCACACCTTCTGTCTATAGTTATACTGTATCCATTACTATTTAAAAACTTGTTATCAGCAATTTATGTAGTCAGTCACGACTATATTTTAGCGGGGTGTGGACATGTTATAAGGACTCAATACGTAATTACTAATTAGAACAGTGATAATGATTGTTTAAATAGTCTAATTGTTAAAAAACAATTATTGATTTTGTTACAAGGTCTATCGTTAAAAATTAAAATTGGTTTAAGAATGGAGATAGAGGATAGTTGTGTTCAAATCTATGCTCACGATGCGCGTAATATTAGTACTCATTTTGCGTCCCCAAATATTATTAAAATGTTTGAAAACTGGAAAAAATCCGTTGAAACGAAGAACATACAAGAAAATAAAGGAGATCAAAAACCTGATAGTACTGGAGATGAAAAATCTGATCAAATAAGATGGGCAGTCCCATGGTTTAAAGGAAAACAAGAAAAAACTGTCAAAATAAAAATAATTCCTAAAGTTAATAAAGTAGTAACGTTTAATGAGAAACACAAAGTTACTTTAACTGATAATGACACACCTAATAAGAAGATACTTTCTGTGGTTGAACATAAAGAGAACAATCTGAAATTACCCCCATATTATAAAGGAAGTAATATGTTCATGCCGACAGGACAAAGGTTATACTGGGTCTGTTAATTTACATACATTAAGGGTCGATTCGACCAAACTTCAATTTATATACGAGTAACTATACCAAGAATAATCTATTCCATGATTTTAATCTCGAGTAAATCCATAGTCGTTTGTCCACGTAATCGATAGTATAATTGCGCTAGGAATAACAATACGCGAATAGCAAGAGAATGGTGAACGAAAATAAAACTCGGCAAATAAATGTTGTTCTACAACGGGACAGTGTAAGAGCATACATCATGTCAACTCGATTTTGCCGTATTATAGAGTGAAAAAGTAGCTTTTAACAGGTGTCAAACGACAACAAAAAGTTTTTATTTCTTGTTTGATTGAGGCTTTCGTCTAAAAAGGAACTTCTGTTGAGCCTAGTTGAATTTCATTCTAATATTATAGAAAATAAAAAATCTAAAAATAAATAATAAATTGTTTAAACGTTTCATTATACAATGCCAGACTATTAATTTAGTGCGTTGCGTTGACTTGAAATTAAAACACAGAATACATATTTGTGAAATGACAGAAATCAGCTGATTGGACTGACTGACGCCATTAAATTATTCTAGGAATAGCTGTTATTCCGTGCGAAACGGCGGTATAGTAGCTATTCCCGAATAAGTCCACTATTCTTAGAATTTGTAGTTGGTAAAACGTAAAATTGATTTACTCTCGATTAACTGACGATTTTTTTCTAAGATTAAGATTTACTCTTGTTTGGTCGAATCGGCCCTAAGTGATTTGAGACAGATTATTGTGATATAATCTCCAATTCTTAAAACAAAATCAGTCTTGTACTTCTAACTTTCTTCTCCATCTGTCTAGTTAAGTTTACGCTATGATAAAAAGAGACTAGGTACTTTAGACGGTTTTTGGTGGTGTACTTTTTTAAACGGTGGTAGTAGTAGTCTGATATTATTTTTATAAATAGGCGGGTATATAATCCTACTTTAGACTATAGTTCTTACATTTGATTTCTACCAGTATCGTCTGTTCTAAGTATTACAAAGTCAAATCATGTTTACTCTAATTTTCATTCAACTTCATTCAAAAATAAAAAGGTATATTTTTTATTTTGGAACTCGAGTTCCAGTAGCCACCGAAATAACAAATATGTATCTATTTTAATGTTTTTCTAAATTCTCATGTAGGACTTCGATAGAGCTTTAAATTTGAAAGTCGAAATAAATCTAATGGTAATTCTTAATTTTTTATGGGAGCTAAACAAATGTGTTGAATTAAGAACCTTTTCTGTAAATTATGTAAAACGGTACGACGGTTTTTGTTAATCTTAAATTACTCGTTCACAGACTTTTTAAATAGACTGAAATACATTTCAAATCGAACTTAGTTCAGATTAGCGATTAAACAATCTCTGCCTTTGTAAAGTTAATATTCAGGTTAAAAGAGCTTGTAAAAGTGAGCATTTACATAATGGCATGAGTGGCAAGGAGAAGTTGTATCTCTATACAACTACGCGTCTTATGAATTCGGGTTTTATTTTTAAGCCCGGCTGGGTCTAATCTTTTTCGACCTCAATTATATTGTTACATATAATAATAATGACAATTAAACCTCTTTATTCCTTGAAACATTCATCCATCTTTACAAAATATAAACGCACTTAAAATTGTATACAGAAATAAATTATATTTTTCTTCTAAGGACCTTTTATAGAGTATAGGCCTCCTCCAATGGGCTCCATCTCTCTTTATACTTGCCATCCCACCGTACGGACGGCCTCTCTTTCTTTTCTGGAGGCCCTTTCCACCTTGCCTCTCTGTCCATCTGCATTTGAGCGAGCGGTGTGGTCCGCCCACATCCAAATATTTATATATATAATTTTAATAATAAATATTTAAATGTTCAAGAAATGTATCATAGGCATTAAGAATACAATATTTGTAATCAATGAAAATATCTTCCAGCTCGGGGAAGCACGACCATCATCTTATGGCCCGGCATCGTACCAGGATTTCAAGGAGATCAAATCCAGTTGTCTCGCCGAAGGAAGACTATTTGAGGATCCAGAGTTTCCAGCAACTGACCGGAGTCTGTACTTCAAGGAGAGGTTGGACCGCCCCATCACTTGGTTGAGACCTGGGGTGAGTAATATATACCTACTATTTTCTCAAGTTAATTTCTAATTTCTAAAAGTCTTTACAAATTATAAATTGAACCCAGCTTGTACATGTGACCTTTTTGAAGGTATCTTGCTTTTTTTCATGAATTAAATCTTAATATATATATAAATTACGTGTCACGTTGTTTGTCCGCTATGGAATCCTAAACTACTTAACCGATTTCAATCAAATTTGCACACCGTGTGCAGTTTGATCTAACTTAAAAGATAGGATAGCTTACATCTTAATTTATACCCGGAATATTATTTTATTGCAAAATATTTGTTTATTATTTGATAGTCACAATTCTAACAGATGGCGCTGTGTTGAAAGTGCCAACGTTTCACATAAGCTACAATTTAATGGCATTACCACCAAGCATGGTGGTCCCCATGACTGGTGTTCTCCTACCGCTTCCCTTGAATAGGTTACTACTATGTAAAATAACTAAAACCTTAGCCACAGCTAGATAATCTATGTTTGTTAAACATTTAATATTCTATGAATAACATACAAAAAACGCAGATTGCTCTTTGGTCAGCATAGACGCTTGACAGCAACATTCCTATCTCTATATATATGTTGTTTTTCTATCATAAGGTTTGGCCATTGCGGCTAAACTCTAGCGATCTTTATATCGATATAATGATAGTATACAAGTGTGTACAGATGCGGTGTTATTTTTGTTCCATAAATCATGAGTCAATGGAGTATAGCGAGATCTGGAGGTCATTTAAAAGCTTTATGTACAACGAGACCCTACTAGCATAGGGAGCGTTCAAGTATTACGTCACGCAATTTTTGGAGGTTATTGACCTCCCCCCCTGTAACGCGCCGTAACTACTTCTAATTAATTTGCGATATTTGTTTTAAAATAAGTGTTGTTTGATGATTTGCTATTTTAAAAGAGTACCGAGAGTTTTTTACGCCGGCTTTTTCTCTCGGCCTACACCCTCTGTCTTCTTTGCCGATGAGTAGGGATGCCTACAAATTCAAATTTAATGACGTGGAATAAGTGATACATGTATCTTATGTTCCATAATAAACATATTTTTTTATTTTAACGATTTTCTGTACCCAAGTATAGTAGACGTTTCGTGAACCTGGTGACCTCTTTATACCTAAAAGTTACCATTATTTAGTGTAAAGTACAGGAAAGTCGAAAATAATATTAACAATAACGCGTAATTCTATCCCCGCCCCGCATCGTAACGTTTTACAAAAGGACAAACTCAAATTTGTTACGTAATACTTGAACGCTCCCATATCCATAGTTGAACTTTTGTTATAAAAATCGAAGTGGCATTTTGTATCTCTACCTTGTATTGCCCGACACGTCATGAACTGAATACGAACAAACTAGGCAACCAAGTCCTTGACTCACCTAATTTTGGGCAATTTGTAATTATGCTCAATAAAGTAGACACGTACTGCATGACTAAGCTTGTGTATACTTGAAGATTAGTTGTAAATTATTTTTTTTTCAATATTCTATTATTTTAATATGTCATTAAATTAAATCTCTTAAATAGGTATTAACGAATTTATTCAATCGTAGTCTTGCTGTAAACTCGTTATAGAAAATCACATTATTATATAGTAAATCACACACAATAGACCAGCTTTGAATTACATTGATAAAATAGCAAAACTTTCATAGATATTACAGTTCCAACAGAGAACAAAAGAGGAGCCAAAAAAGTGAAAAAACTTAGCAATGATCATGAAACAGATAAAGAAATCTGAGGCCCAGACCTAAAAAGGTTGTTGCGCCACTGGTGTATGTGTGTGCGCAAAGTGCAAAACTATATAATATATAGGTACTATTGTATATAAGTTGTGTTGTACTGAGGCTAAAAATGGAACAAAGCAAAGCAATTAAAAGATAGGTTTATATGGATAACAAAAGTGTGCCAAGCAAGTCACTATAAGTAAATCATTTTACAGGAAATCGCAAACGATCCACAACTCTTCGTGGAGGGATACAGCCGATTTGACGTGCAACAAGGAGAGCTTGGGGATTGCTGGCTTTTGGCTGCCGTCGCCAATCTCACGCTGTATAGGAAGTGAGTGTAATATAATAAAAGATAGTTAGTAAAATATAAGATATACACGCAAATGGTGTTCTAAATAACAGTGAAAAAATTGCAAGCCGTCGAGGGACGCCCGGCAGGTGCGAAAACCATCGAAATTATTTTGTACATAAAATAACAGTTTATGACAGGAACTAGATATAGCATAAAATATATTAGGATTTGTTCTAGAAAATTCTAAATAATATAAATAAATATTTATATTCATTAAATACAAAAAAATTAAAACTTAATACAAAGTATAGAGTACTAAATATTGACAGTATGTATAATATATATCCTACCATATAGCGTGGCGACGGCTACAATAGCTTTAGATGTTTCACATAAAAATTTAAAATATTTACATGTATATATATGGATAAAAATTAATTGCAAATTATGCTATAATATATTGCTAAGGTCAAAACTCGAAAACGGCTGGACCAGTTCGAGTATTATCTTTATTTATTCCTCGAAAGGTAGGTTTTTATAAAAATAAATTTTTGAAAATAAAATAAAACATTGAAAAATGTAGTTTTATTTAGTACTAAGGATTTTAAGCCGGAAAAGCGAACAGGCTCTATGAAATAGCAAAATTATCCATATGTTGGTATGTAGCTACTAAAAAGGTAGGAAACGAAGTTCGCAGGGGCAACCAGTTAAAAATAAGTGTACCCTTTTCTCTCCTATTGTGATGGGAGATCGCCCCTTTTATATATCCAAAGCGGTATTCTAATGTAACATATTGCGATTATATTATATTATTTTGTTAAATAAAGAAATTATTTTTTATTTGATATTGATTTCGTTGTAAAATAATCTTAAATTGCGAGTTGACACAATGTGCATCTTATTATGGCGAAAAGGTCCAACCCTTTATAAATGTCTCTACTCATATACAGTTACATAGATGATTTCTTTTTAATAAATTAATTAAAAATACTCCTGATCTCGGACACACGAACATAGTGTCAAAATATAGATCTAAGGGTGGATCACAAACAAAATAATCTAATTTAAATAAATCTCAGATGAAGTAAATCAATTTTACGTTTTACCATCTACAAATTCTAAGAATATCCATTCGGGGATTATTACTATACCGCCTTTCGCACGGAATTTCCTAAATAATTTAATGGCGTCAATCAGTCAATATCTGATTTCTGTCATTTCACAAATATGTATTCTGTGTTTTAATTTCAAGTCAACCAACGCACTAAATTATAGTCTGACATTGTAAATGAAATTTAACAATTTATTATTTATTTATTTATTTTTGTTTTTTTATTTTCTATAATATTATAATGAAATTCAACTGATGCTCAACAAAGTTCCTTTTTAGCGACACCTCAAACAAACAACAAATAAAAACTTTTTGTTGTCGTTTGACACCTGTTAAAGTACTTTTTCACTCTATAATACGGCAAAATCGAGTTGACATGATGTATGCTCTTACACTGTCGTTTAGAACAACATTTATTTGCCGAGTTTTATTTTCGTTCACCATTCTCTTTGCTATTCGCGTATTGTTATTCCTAGCGCAATTATACTATCGATTACGTGGAGAAACGACTATGGATTTACTCGAGATTAAAATCATGGAATAGATTATTCCTGGTATAGTTACTCGTGTATAAATTGAAGTTTAGTCGAATCGACCCTAAGACTTAATGAACTTAGTTGAAGCTATTAACTAGTATTGTTGAAAATTAAGTCAACATAATATTAATATTAATTAAGTGAAAAAAAAATACTAATCACACAGAAACGATTTCTTTCTTTTAGTTGCAGGCTGCAGCCATATTTCTACTAATTATTATTTGTGTAATTTTCAGACTCTTCTTCCAAGTTGTTCCAGATGATCAGAGCTTCGACGAAGAGTACGCTGGCGTTTTTCATTTTCGGTTTGTTTTTATACATTTTTATAGTGAAAAGTTTAAATAATTTTTCAAAAATTAAATTTTGGAATACCTTATTCAAGATCTCAAATTTTATGAATATAAAGAATTATTTCGTGTTTGCCCGTTTGTCCATGGTTCTGTTTCTTTGTTTGTTTATTTTCTTTTCTATCGTTTCTGTAATATAACTTAAAAATATATAATTTAAATAAAGCCAAATTTACTTTTGCAATATTTAAGGTATTAATTACCAGTCATGGTTGTAAGAAGCTATAGAATTTTTTTTTATAGGATACGTCTCGTTGCAATTACGAAAGGTGTTTGAATTTATCTGGCCTCAGGCATTTAATTTTTTTTATAAACGTCTAAAGAAAAAAAACTCTTAGATTATACAGGCGGACTTTAAATCAGTGTTACCAGTTTCAATACGAATTTTTTAGTGGTCTTTATTAAAAAATATTTGTAGTTTCTGGCAGTACGGCCGCTGGGTGGACGTGGTGATAGATGACCGTCTACCAACGTACAGAGGGAAACTGGTCTTCTTACATTCTTCGGAGACCAATGAGTTCTGGAGCGCTTTGCTGGAGAAGGCGTATGCCAAGTTAGTATTTTACAATTTAATTAAAAACATTTAATTTTATAGTAGAAATTTAATACTAAGTAATTTTTTAACAATTAATAGTTAGAGAATTATATAAACGCTATAGTGTCATATACAGGTTGTTCAGAGTGTGAAGTATTCATTTACAGGGTGTACAAATCTCACAATAACTGAATGAAACATATTCTTTTGGATCAATCCATATTATTTAATTTGGAAATTAAAATCATAAACGACATTGGGTCCTTCTAGAAGAGCGTACCAATTAAAAGGCAGGCAGCACACTCGCGAGCCCTTGGGCATTGAGTGTCCATGGGCGGCAAAATCTAAATGACTTAAGTTCCTTCAAGAAGAGCGTACCAATTAAAAGGCCGGCAACACACTCGCTAGTCCTCTGGCATCACTAAACTGGATTTGCCTATAAAAAAATTATGAACATTGAAGGCATATTTAGTGAATATAGTTCCCCACCCACCCACGGAGCGCTGATCAACTTCGCCACGCAAAAAGATTTTTCTATTACCAATTAAAAGGCCGGCAACACACTCGCGATCTCTGCCATTGACGGCTTATCACTTAACATCAGATGAGCCTCCTGCCTATTGCCCACTGTTCTGTAAAAAAAATACGTGATCACTGATGGCATATTTCCTAGATATAGTCCCCCACCACCTACGGAGCGCTGATCAACTTTTCCACGCAATTTTTTTATTACCTATTAGGTCTTAGGTATAGTAGTGTTTGTAAGGAAATTTAATACAGGCTCCATGGATCGTACGAGGCCCTCAAAGGCGGCTCCACGTGCGAAGCTATGGAGGACTTCACGGGTGGAGTCACGGAGATGTATGAGATGAATGATCCGCCACCGAATCTCTATACTATACTGTTGAAAGCCTATGAACGGAATTCCCTTATGGGGTGCAGTATTGAGGTAGGTACCCGCTTTGTGTATTTGGCATAATATTCGAAAAATCTGTGTTTCCCCCTTTATATATAGCCCCCCCTCCCCTTAACAATCAAATTGCCCCTTAAAACCGAATCTTTAAGGGGCCTCATAGCCTAGCGGTATTATTAAGTGGCAGCTAGGTGAGGGGTACCGGGTTTGATTCCCGGTTCGAGGGCAAGTTTTAATTTAATTTAAATTTGTTCTCGGCCTTTGGGAGGGTTGTGCGGTACCGGGCGAGTGCTTAAACCGTACATGGAGGACACGGTCGAATTTCTAAGTCAAGCACGAATTATAAAAATCTTATACTTGACGCTGGCTAATGCACAAACCGTGCCAGAGCCATAAAAAAAACGAATCTAATTTATCAAAAAAGTCATAAGCAGCGGCACGGTACTCATGTCACATTTTATCACAATCTACTAGACCCAACTCAGCCTAGAGCCGCCAGTTGCCTTTCCTTTACATGTAATTATGTAAAAAAAATTTATTATAAAGCAACAAAGTGTAAATAAATAAATAAATATTCGTGTACGTTGATGTACGTCAACTTTCTATAGTTTAACGTACACGTATTCGATGCATACGTTCCGTTTTCCGGTTATTTAAAAAATATTCTACTACGATAGCTACTGAATTCTATTAAATAGATTAATTGGTTGATTTCAGCCGGATCCAAATGTCCTGGAAGCGGAAACGCCAGTTGGTCTTATCCGGGGTCACGCGTACTCTGTGACCCGGGTGAAATATGTGGATATAGAGACCCCGGGGAGGTCTGGAAAGATTCCCTTACTGCGTCTGCGCAACCCGTGGGGAAATGAGGCAGAATGGAACGGACCCTGGAGTGATAAGTGAGTTCAAACGCGTTTTTTATTTTTGCCTTACAGATCTCTAGAGCTATAAACGAAAATAACATTAAGTAACAGTAGAGGCAGTGAATATGTATATATTTATATATTACTAGTGGACCCCACAGACGTTGTCCTGCATGATATTTAAAGCGATTAGGATATTAAGCAAAGTATGAAAGTACCGACTGCAGTGCCATCTGCCGGGCTGATTTGTGAATCTAAACCATTCCCAGATCCCCTTGAACACACACAAAAAATTTCATCAAAATCGGTCCAGTCGTTTAGGAGGAGTTCAGTCACATACACACGCACAGAAGAAATATATATATTAAGATTATATAAGAAAAAACATAACATTATAGACGCTATTACACACTGCAATAGATTTAAATGGAAATGGACACACAATTTGATACAAATAACATAACAGCTTGGTCTGGTCAACCTGGAGTTAAAGGATAGGTGGCCAGATGAAACTAATAAGACACGGGGGACAGACTTGGCAAAGGTTAGGGAAAAATTAAGTGGTCTGGAAGAAGACCGTTGTACATAAAGAGGTCCTTACAACTAAGAGCTGACTACGATTAAATTCTTTTACTTTATGTTGGTCACATTTTTATTAAAATTTTATATCTTGGTAATAGTTGTATAGGCTTTTTTAATTATTTATTCTTAAGTATGTACCACTAAGATTTTGTAGTCACCCCAACACAGGAGTCCCCAGCGTCTGTATAAATACCATATGTTTTTGATATTTTTTTTATAAATACCATATGTTTTTGATATTTTTTTTATAAATACCATATGTTTTTGATATTTTTTTTATAAATACCATATGTTTTTGATATTTTTTTTATAAATACCATATGTTTTTGATATTTTTTTTATAAATACCATATGTTTTTGATATTTTTTTATAAACACCATATGTTTTACCATGTATATTATTTCTAGGAAACATTTTTTTAGTTCAATAAAAATAACTATCTACAAAAAAACTAAAAATAAAAAAAAATTAGGTGGACACCCTTTATCACTTAGGGGTTTGAAATATAGATTGTAGCCGATTCTCAGACTTACTGAATATGCATAAAAAAATTCATAAGAATCGGTCATGCCGTTTTGGAGGAGTATAGGAACAAACATTGTGACACGCGTATTTTATATAAAAATTTACTATGAATTTTCAGGTCACCAGAATGGCGTTTCATACCCGAATCGGAGAAAGAAGAGTTGGGCCTAACGTTTGACGATGATGGTGAATTCTGGATGGCTTTCAAGGACTTTTGTCAGCACTTTGACCGGTGAGACATTTATCAATAATTCATTAAATCATTCTGGAGATTTGTGTTATAAAATAAATTGTGTTACAGCCTGGAAATATGCAACTTGAATCCCGATTCTCTGGACCCAGCCGAGTGCCCCGAAGGCTGTACCAAGAAATGGGAAATGTCCGTGTTTGAGGGGGAGTGGGTTCGAGGTATGATTTTTGAAGTTATACTACTTTTGGTGCGTTAGGGAAAAATGACGAGAGTAAATTTTAACGATATACGACACCGTCACAAAAAACCGACACCCTGAATATCTGTTCAAACGTCGGACCGCTAGTGTGCGCTTGCTCTGTTTTATCGACAAGTTGCATTGTCATAGCGTAGTGTTTTTCAAAGTCATGTTTATTTAAACTTAAATAATGATTTCTACCCGTTCCAATGTGATAAAAAACATAGTGTTTATTGTAAAATATGATTAGTACATATTATATCGTTTCGATTGGATGTGACTATTAAAATAGTCGAGAAAAAAGCAATTTGAAGAGGGAATCGTCCCTCTAAAGTGCTCGAAAAGAATTATTACGCCAAAGAAGAATAACTTTTAATGCGTGTACATAAGTACACACACGTTTTTTGTTTTAAATTTCAAAAATTAAAAATAAAATAATAATCAACTGTTTTTCAAGTCAATTGCGTTTTAAATCGATAAAATTTTGTTTTTGTATGTAATGTATATTGATAATGATATAAATGTATATTGATGTTTGTATGTTGTCATCACATTATGTATACGCTTGGAAATCCTCAAATTCAATGTAACAGTAAACCTAATTGTTCCTTGTTTTCCAGGTGTAACGGCTGGTGGTTGCAGGAATTATCTGGAGTCGTTTTGGAAGAACCCACAATATACGGTCACTTTGAAGGACCCAGATGAGGATGACGAAGAAAATAAATGTACTGTAAGTGTAGAAGTATTACTACATGTATGGGGCATGGGGTATTTTTTATAAACCATTTTCTAGGCAAATCTTTCAACACGAAAGTGTGAAGTGATTATTATTTCATCAGACTCCGGAAGCCAGATGTTCGTTAACTCATCTCAGACTAAACAAGCGAGAATAGAAATTAAAATAACTCTTATTTTTTTCTTTCTCTTTTCTGTTTACTAAAAAAAGATTTAAATTAACTAAAAAAATAAAAACAATTGCATTTGTTTTTGTGATTTTTTTCTATTTTCATTTAACAAAAATGAATGAAATTCCAGATAATCGTAGCCCTCATGCAGAAGAACCGTCGGTCCCAGCGGCACCAGGGACTCGAGTGCCTCACCATCGGATTCGCCGTCTACCGTCTCCCGGACTACGGACACGTGCCCAAGCCCCTCGACGTCAACTTCTTCAAATATAATGCTTCTGTTGGACGCTCGCAGGCGTTTATCAATCTGCGTGAAGTTAGCGCTAGGTAAGACAAACGGATACTCGTGATTCCAAATTTGGATGTGTGAAGTTAAAGATTATAAGATTTTTTAAGAAAATTCAAAACATTTTTTAAAATAGTTTATTTACATTTAACTAAAGTATGTAGGTACCATTTTGTTCGATAACTTTTTGCCATCATTTAGGTAGGGACATGATCCCATTGCTATAGAAATTTTGGGGCTTCTGATCAAAATACCGCGACAATTGGTTTTGGCAGTCCTCTTGTGATGTTAACCTGACACTGCCTAAAGAATTCTGAAGAGACTGAAACAGGTGGAAATCTGAAGGTGCAAGGTCAGGACTATACGTCGGATGCATTATCACCTCCCAGCCAAGCTCTCTTAGTTTTTGCTGAGAGGCTAAAAATGTGTGAGGTCTAGCGTTATCATGATGAAAAACCACACCCCTTCTGGTGATTAATTCCGGCCGCTTTCTCTCAACTTCTTGCTTTAATCTCATCAGTTGTTCGCAGTAGAGTTCAGAATCGATGGTCCTGCCTGGTGGTAACAGCTCATAATGAATAATGCCCTTCCAATCCCACCACACACACAGCATCACCTTGTTGCGAGTTATCCCGGGTTTCGCCACAGTCTGTGAAGCCGGACCGGCCTTTGACCACGACCTTTTTCGCACGTTCTTGTCGTATATGATCCGCTTTTCATCATCAGTTATCAGCTTCTTTAAAAATGGTTCGGTTCCATTAAGTCGTAATAAAGAATCAAAAATGAGTACACGGTTCATTAGGTTTCTTACAGTGAGCTCGTGAGGTACCTAAATATTGAGCTTTTTGTGTACCCAGCTTTTTTCAAATGCGCCAAAACTGTTTTGTGGTCAATTCCCCGTTCTTCAACTACGTCGTAACTACTGATATGCCGATCTTGCTCCACTTTTTCAAAAATGGCATCCATTTTATCCGTCATAGGGCGACCAGAGCGACTTGGATCTTTGACATCAAAATTTCCGGATTGAAAACGCTTAAACCAATTTGTGCTACTGTCACAGACACTGCGCTAGGGCCATATTAACATCACAATTTTTTTCCGCGGCTTGTGTTGCATTTTGACCTTTTTTGAAATTTAAAAATGTATCGAATTTCTTCATTCGATTCACTCCTCTTGACGGTACAAAAATAAATAAAAAACAGACATTATCCTATTTTGATTTTGGAATTATCTTCTTTAAAATCTCAAAATTCCTTGATAACAAAACCAGCCAGATACTTATAGTATAGCCAAAGAGATTTTATTACAAGTTCATACGTACTATAATGCGAAAAGACTTTTTCCCCAACCTAATATATATATATCACAGTTATATATGCCGGAGCAATGGCGCTGGTGTCAGCTGCCATTGTCATTATGTCACAGAGCTCATAAATTCATAGACATTATTATTTTTTTTTAAATATGTCGGAAGTAACAAGTGTCAAATGATTACTTTATGGTAGGTTCACACGCGCGCGTTCAACTCTACATTCAACGTGCACATTCACATTCACGAGCGTGTAAACGGTACGCCCGAGCCCGTGAACGCGCCTGTGAACGTGAATGCCGCGAATCGGGCATACTGACTGACACGACGGCGTGCGTGTGAACAGCTTGAATGTCCGCCGGCCCGAGACGGGCTGCATGCCGCGCAGCCCGCCAGGCAGCCTGCCGGGCTGCTCGGCGCGCGTGTGACCGTAGCATAACAGTTTACTCATTACAGCGTACGTAATCGTAAACAAAACTAAAAAATACTTCACATATTAATGATTTTTCCAGATTTAAATTGGAACAAGGCCGATACGTCATAGTTCCGTCCACCTTCGAACCGAACGATGAGGGAGAATTCCTTCTTCGAGTCTTCTCTGAGAAGGACAACAATATGACGTAAGTTAAACTGAATAATTCGGATTTCATTGTTATGATAAAAAATACACATGATTTATTTCTGATTTTTTTTTAATAGTAAAAGTGAGAAGTGAAGGTTACCTGGAAGAGATTGCATCCTGTTTCATATTTTGTCAATTGAATTTTGACATATTTGACAGCGCTCAAGGCGAGTCTGTGACATAGATAAGAATATGGACCTTCTCGTTTTTAAATCTAACCCTTAGGGTCAAGTCCTGGAGCGAACTTAACTTTTGTATATCAAAAATATTGGAGTTGTCATATTTTTTTTGTTTACCCTTAAACAGTACTATAAGTTAGAATAAAGTTTATATACCTTTTCTACTTAAGTCTCCTATACACTCTTTCTCCTTGTGTTTATCCTTAAATATAAAAAAAATATCTTTTCAGTGAGAATGACGAAGATGTTGGCATGGGAGAAGTTGATGATCGGGTAAGTTTTAAATATTATAAAGAAGTAAAGTCAGGTTGTAGGGGGAACCTCTGGAACTACTGAACAGATTTTGTAAATTTTGCCATAGAATTAAAAAAACGTGTGAACTTATGTGCACGCGTTAAAAGTTATACTTTTTTGGCGTAATCATTCAGGGACGTTTCCCTCTTCGAATTGCATTTTATTTTATTATGGTCCATCACTAATATGTACTAATCATAATATTTAACAATAAACACTATGTTTTTTATCGCCGGCTTTTTCTCTCGGCCTACACCCTCTTTTTTTCCATAGAGGGATATCTACCGATTCAAATTTAATAACGTGGAATATGATACCTTATCTGATATGTTCATAATAAACATATTATTTATTTTATTTTTTTATCACATTGGAACGGGTTTTCTCGTAAAAAAATCATTATTTAAGTTTAAATAAACATGACTCTGGAAAACACTACGCCATGACGACAATGCAACTTTTCGATAAAACAGAGCAAGCGCCAACTAGCGCCCAGCGTTTTCCCGACGTTTGAACAGATATTCAGGGTGTCGGTTTTTTTCGACGGTGTGCGCGCATCGTAAAAATTTACTCGTAATTTTTCCCTAACGCGCCAAAAGAAATATAACTTCAAAAAAATCTAGGTTTATTGCTTCCGGTTACCTACAGGGGCGGGTCGCTCGTCTATTGATGAACTTCGGTTTCAAAGTCTTTATAAAGAATATATATCTTAATCCACAAATATAAGGGTCTGTTTCACAATGTATGGATACAGTACCGAATAGCTATGCAACATATAAATTATTTGGAAGATAAATTGTGCTATTTGACACTTCATCGAACTAACTTATGATGGACTTTATGTGACGAATAGCGCTATCTGACAGTCGTGAAACGCAACAATAGTGTTCGTCCTACCAATAAGTAATAAGTAGCTAATTTGGAAGTTATCCGACCCTTTAATACTTTGGTGGTTGACATTAAAAATGACTTCCTAGGTGAAAGACGTCCTTCCCTCTCAACCGGAGCCAGCTGATCCCGTGAGGCAGTTCTTTGACCGTCTCGCTGGAGATGACGGAGAAGTAGACTGGCAGGAGCTGAAGGAGATCCTGGATTACGCCATGAGAGAGGGTAAGTAACAGAGATAGGCTATGAAATATAAAGAGAAGGGGTAGAGTTTATTAGGAATTAAAGGTTTTCTTATTTAATAGGTAATTAACATAAAAATTCAAATGGGAGTTTAATATTATTCACATAGATAGGTGGCCTACAAAAGATTGGGTCCAAATTTAAAAAATTAAGATATTTAGAAGTATACTCTTACATTAGCAACACAGTATTGGCCTAGTGTCTTTAGTGTGCGAAACATTCCTGAGGTCATAGGTTCACTCCCCGGCTTGAATTCTATGTGCACATTTAACAATCGTGAAGGAAAACATTGTAAGGAAAGCGGCCTTAGACAAAAAAAGAAAATGATCACGAAACCTACAGAAATCTGAGGCGTTCCCTTTTAGGCCTGCTAAAAGGCCGTAGCGCCACTGGTGCATTCATCAGTTTTATGTAAGAACAATTTTATTATACCTTTTGTGAATATTCGTTTTGGCCTACAAAAGAATTTGCATCGATATTAGTACCAATAAAGAAGATTTAGGATAAATAGAAGTTCACTTTCATTTTTATTTCAGAACAAATTTTTGGTTTTTAAATTTTAATTATATGTTGATTTCGCATATGTTATATATTTTTCGTATAAAATAATACGTAATAAAATGCCCATTTTGTGTCATTAAATTATATACAGTTTCGGATTATTTATATTTATAGTTGAAGCTGTATTTAATTTAATTTATGTGTATAATATTGCTTGGTGTTTTAATGCTTCTTATTTCGCTGAGAAATTATGTAAGTAACTAAGTAGTGTATAAATGACAATTTATCACCTCTTAAACTAAATTATTCTTAACGCAATCACAATAATATATTCGTCTCTTTCTGTCAAATCGTGTTTACGCTGGTGAAAAGAGATAGCATCTGTCCTCTGTAAATCTTGCATCAAATATTTGTATGATTATATTTTTTAATAACCTGTTAATTTACTGCGTTCGTATCCAGATTTTGCAGATATTTTTTGCGTAACCAAAGCTGTATATATATTTATAACCAAACCAACAAAAATAAAATAACTCGACCCAATGTGTGATCTCGATAATAGGTGCACAAACATGATTTTTAAAGGCTGGCAACCCACTATAATGGGTGTCCATGTGTGACTGACTTTTGGCTGGCCTTTTTGGGCGTCCCGTAGGAGCGTTTGCCCCCTATACAAGAAAAAATTATATGTAATTAATAAGTTTACATAGATATAAATTACACATATAGCAAAGTGTACCAATTCTTACAACGCACCAATGCGACACACTCGCGAGTTCTCTGGCATTTAGTGTCCATGGGCGGAGGATCACTTCAGATGAGCTGCCCACTGGCCTCCTGTTTTATTAAAAAAAAGGTTTATAGAAATTAGTAATACCTTACCCTGTTACTTATAACAAATATGAAGATTCTATTAAACCTGTTTTAGCCTGCTTGCTTACCATATATTTTCTGTACACGTATTCTATTATTTATTATTTGTTCGTGTTTCCATTTAGTTGCAAATATTTCATACATTCAACCAAACGCTGTTTTATACAAATATTAGACGCAGGAATATTATACTGTGATTACAGAATAGTAAATTGCTATTTTAACAGCCTAAAATTGGTAGCCCAAACCTAATAACTATACTAAAGTCAGTGTCTATGTGCAAGTTTTTTTTCATTTGTCTTACATTAACAAAAACCATTATAATAATGCAATAAAATGGAGAGTGCCCAATATAACATAGTATTAACGAATTCATTGAAATTATTAATCATAAGTCTCGTTGCCGTAACGGGCAATCCCCTTCAATGTTGTGGAATAATAAGACAACATGGTCTACGTACGTTAATAGAAATGGCAATGCGTCACGGCGCTGCATACGATGGCGGAGGGAGTCCCCAAGAGCAGAGTTGCCTAGAGCAGTTGCTCTGTGCACTCTGCGCACCCATTTGCAAGGAGATCGGGGTCGATTTGCAACAAGTAGCCCAACAGAATCAGGAACAGGTGCATTTGAATCAGCCACAGTCGCAAGGTAAAGGAAAATTCAAACAAGACAATTTCGAACAATTCAATTTAATTTCAAACAAAACAATTTTTACTGGTATTAAAACAAAATGTTAGTCAGTTTTACCAATTCACGCTTCTTTAAGAACGACTTAACCAATTTTGATGATAGTTAATAATGCCATTTGTAATGTTCATACATTATTTAATAAAAACTTTCATGGTCTTTATTTATTTTTTATGTAGCTAATAAGGTATTTTAAATATACTATTAATGTGTCTTTACATGTTCACAGGATTGCAGTGCCGTGCATGATTCTATTATTTATATTTTATCGAAATGGAGGCTGCATTTTAAAATGTCTATTTGAATTTTTTTTACTGTGTTTTTTTTTCAGGTTATTTTAAATATTTCGAAATACGAAAAATAAATGTTTACGCTTAAGCCACTAACCATCATAAATGTAGATTTTGCCAAAGAATTTGGTGAAATTTACATTTACCGCTTATTGCATGTTTATCACAAAAATGGGCATTTTAAATTTATTTAAAATTATAAGAAATCACCTCCATTTCCATAAAACTAGAATGTAAGAGAAATTACGTCATCAGAATAATGTTGCTAACTTCAGTAAATGTTACTCCAGTTAGCTACACATTGTTCTTTAAAGGCCTACAGTTATGTCAAATTTAACTATAATTTAAAGCGTTTGTATCTTATAATATATTTAATAATGTTATTTAATGTACTTTACCACATATAAACAACAAAACACACATACACAACATAAAGGCAAAAATATAATAACTGTAGGCCCTTAAAAGTGTTTACTATTATTGCATTATTATCAAATATATTACTTCTATTGTATTATTATCAATTTTATAGTTATTATTGTATTATTATTAATTATATTATTTGAAAACAGAACTCCGCGGTCAGGGTTTCTCGAAGGATGTATGTAGGAGTATGATCGCGATGCTCGATAAAGACAACTCGGGAGGACTCGGCTTTGAAGAGTTCAAATCGCTTTGGATCGACTTGCGACAGTGGAGGGTGAGTTGATTGATTATTAAAGGCTGTTTTTACTGTGTGTAGGAGAGTTCCAGAGTAGGATGTCTTTACTGTATGTACGAGATTTCCAGATTGAAGGAGGAACAAATAGTTTATAAGCGCTTATAAAGAACAACGCAAACAACATCGTACAAGAGATTTCATCAAGATCTTCCTACTAAAGTTTTTAAAAATCAACTTAGTATTTTACTTTTGGCGAAAATTTATTATTCTATTACTGATTATTTGCGTGAAATATTATATTATTAATATTAATTTGATGACGCAATAATATATTTTAATAATATGATAAAATAATTCATAATGTAATGACATATAAATATAACTTCTATCTAAAATTCTACCTTTTAATTATGTAAGACCGGACCACCACCATAATATTTTTGTACCATTTTCTTGAAAATTAATTATTATTATTACTAATAGTTTTGCAAGAGTAAAAGCATCAAAAAACAAAAAACAACCGTTACTCAGGTCATATTGTATACGAAAGGTTTACAACGTATTTTTACTTAAACAAGCACCACTTTGCCCCCTATCTAATATATAAAATTCTCGTGTCAGAATGTTCCTCCGAAACGGCTCGACCGATTCTTATGAATTTTTTAATGTATAATCAGTAAGTCTGAGAATCGGTTACTATCTTTCAAATCCACATCCCCTAAATTTCAGCCCTCTACGATCAACCCCTATTTTTTATTATAGTAGATAGTTATTTTTATTGAACTAAAATAATGGTTCCTAGATATACATGGCAAAACAACGTTTGCCGGGTCAGCTAGTTTTATATAAAAATATATTGGGATTTTTTGTCTATTGACTTCCAAACTTCATTAATCCGCTGATAGAATTTAAAATCGTTTTTATCCTTCAAGGCGGTGTTCCGTCTTTACGACACTGAGGGTCGTAGCGCAATACCAGCCCAGCATTTAAGGGACGCCCTGCACTCTGCCGGATATACGGTCAACGCGCACGTCCTTAATGTTTTGGCTCACAGGTAGGTTTCATTAATAATTGCTGTCTATTAAGATCAAAATACAAGTGTCGTTACAACCTTTTTAGGTCTGGGCCTCAGATTTCTGTTACATGATCATTTACCAATCTAATAGGCAAGTAGGTGATCAGGCTCCTGTGCCTGACACACGCCGTCTTTTTGCGAGTGAGACGGTTTCCTCACGATGTTTTCCTTCACCGTTCGAGCGAATGTTAAATGCGCACATAGAAAGTCCATTGGTGCACAGCCGGGGATCGAAGGTACGACCTGTGCGATGAGAGTCGCACGTTGAAGCCACGAGGCCAACACTGCTCTCTTAGTCTATGGAAATCAAGAAACAGAAATCTGAAGTCTGAACCAGCTAATGGTTCGATTTCTTTTAAGAAATTTATAGTTTCCGTTTTTTATAGAAATTGGACATCAATTAAGCTATGTTAAAAGTAACTTTTCCGTATCGTAAACATCTAATTTGATAAATATTCTTAAATTAAAATAATGTTGTACAAAAAAATCTTTAGAAATTTATTTATAAAAATCGTGCTTTATAATAAATACAGATACGGAACAAGTGATGGCTACATTCAGTTCGATGATTTCATTATGTGCGCTGTGCGACTCAAAACTATGATTGGTAAGTTTTTGTTTCAGTTCAAAGTATGTAAAAATATATAAATATATACGGCATTTAGCTTAGAAGTTATTAAAATAAATTAATTTATATTATTTGAAATGTCTATTTTTAACGAAGATTTGAGTAAAATTAAACATTATTTTGAATTCTTTTGGATTGTATAGCAATTTTACGTTTTTAACGTAATTTTTTTAACGTAAATAAATACTTTTTATTTTACAATTTTCGCAATGAACTGTAGGTCAAACCCCTGTCCTAAACAAATGTTTAAAAACAAATTTTAACGTATATATATTCTAAATAGTATTTCTATGAGAAAAAGTATGTATGTCGCTTTTAGTATTATAATTAATATTAATATAAAACAGCAAACAACGAGCCGCTTGAAAATCTCGAACGTGAGCTGGCGGTCCCGTGAGCGGACAAACGGATACACGAACAAGTATAACTATACAATATCACCATATTGTATGCATCATTCAAACCTAAGAGGAACGTCTGAAAACATAGATTAAAAAATATATTTTTATATTCTATATTTCCTTTCAATTTCGATTTTTTTTTTGGTTACTTATTTCGATTTTCCTCTTAGATCTTATCGTCTTTTGCAATGGTTTAAACAATTTAAAAGCTACTTGTATTATAATTTTAATGGGTTTTTTTTTTAAATATGACTATTTGCAAACGGCTCAATTCATGTATAGTCTGTTTACGGGTAGTAAATTGTGTAAAATATCAATACCCTGTAAACATTCTATCGCCTACACGCTTACTAATCAAAGTTCGCGCCATTTTTTATTATTTTTTAATTGTTTTTTTTAATTTTCAGAAACCTTCAAAGGAAGATCTTCGGGGGGCGAATACGCTACGTTTTCCCTAGACGAATGGTTGAATCGCACAGTCTACTCATAGACAAAATTGCCTTATACTAAACTTGTATATTCCTCTACTATTTGAGATATAGATTTTTCAAAATTTGCTTTTTTGCTAATTAACTGAAATTGTATAAATTATGAAATATTTTTAAGTGATAGTACAAATATATGAATGTTGAATCTCAAATATAACAGATTATGTCACAATTATTCATATAACATAAATAGCAGTATTTTTTTATCCACCGATTTTCCATTCCAATTTACAGTCTTTGGTTGCTGTGCGATTAAAGTTTCAAGTTTACCGACTTTTTAACGCGCAATTACACAGTTAAAAGGTCGGTTAACGTAACTAAATGTATACATGTTTATATTCTCTATATTATTTTGCGATGACAATGCATTTTATTTGCAATTTTATTTATTTTATGTCAAATCTGAATAAATAATGTTTTAAAAGTTTTGTTTGTAATTTTTTGACTATATGTAATCTGTGCACCAATTATAATTTTTCTGTGTTAATAAGAACAACCCTAGCCCTTAGATTGCTGTTTCTTATTTTTATCCTTTTTAATAGGCCTCTGTGCCAGTACTAAGTTAATATATTATAGAAGCAGTTATGACTGTAAAAAGCATCCAAAATTATTCAAAACATTTAAAGAAACTTGCCTGTATTTATACCGAAGGATCCAACACGGCTGTGGGTCTCTGCATGTTTCACCACGTTGTATTCAAATTTTTTTAACGACGACGATCAATTATTATCAAACAATTAATCGCCTCCGGAGAAGTTATAGATCACTGTCGTGTAATGCATTCTAGGGGAAGGTGATTAATATTTTAAAGGCAAGGTGCCTTTATAGCGTGGGCAAGTATTTCGACCGAAGTTTTGACAACAATTATAAATAAGGCTGAATTTAGTCTCACGCCGACCGCACGCGCACCGTCGGCGCTGATGGTCGAGATATATGAACTTCTAGGAAGGGTTTTTGAATGACGCGTAGATATCAGCGCGCACGGTGGTCAGCGCTGATGGCTGCGCGGCCGTACGCGTCGCGCGTCGGATTTAAAGAGTACCGAGAGTTTTTCACGCCGGCTTTTCCTCCCGGCCTACACCCTGTGTCTTCTTTGGCGATGAGTAGGGATGTCTTCCGATTCAAATTTAATGATATGGAATAAGTGATACCTGTATCTTATATTCCATAATAAACATATTTTTTATTTTAACCATTCGACTTAGGGTCCTTCAAGAAAAGAGCGTACCAAATTTAAAAGACCAGAAACTACTTTCGACCCTTCTGGCACTTTGAGTGCCCATGGGCGACGGTACCAATTAACGTCAGGTAAGGCTCTTGCCCGTTTGCCCCGTTCTATAAAAACAAGTAAAAAAACACAATTCATTTCAAAACATCTTTATTTCTCTTCTACCATTCCTCCCACGTTTCGACCATTTCAACGTCTGCTCCACCCTGATCCAGGCTTTGAGCTAGATCTTGTTTTATTTCCTCCGGAATTGAGTACTTCTCAATATCTTCTCCGCGTATCACCAGTTTACAATCAGCTGGAAATATATACGGTTATAAAAGCTAAACCTTAATCATAAAAACTACTTTTTTCGTCTCTTTCTGTCAAATTTTCTGCTTTTTTAATAGGTAAATTTCTGTCGCTGTGACGAAAAGAGATATACAGGATGGTCAAAAAGTCGTGAATCAAACGCAAATAGGGAATCTAGTGGATATTATGTAAAAGATACAGGGTGTATATTTTTTCGAAATTTAATAAGAATTAGTAAAAAAAGTCAATTTTCTTATAAAACGCAAAATAAATTATAACTCTGCAGGGGTTGAGCTTAGAGACCTCCCGTAGAACAATTTTTTGCAGCTGATGACCTCATCTATTTGCGTTTGATCCACGACTTTTTGGGCCACCCTGTATATGGAGATAGAGGTACATATTTATGAAGGGAATTAATTCATCTAGATTAGTAAAAATGTCACATTTATTCACAGTTTCTCTCTCCTTGGCTTTTTGTAAATACAAAAAGGTTCAAATATTTACGAAATTAAAAAATCAATATTAATTATTAAATACGTAATACTTTTTTATAACTTTAAACTATAAATAAGGTTATAGGATATATCTGGCACGGCATTGCGCCCAAAAATATGGATATGGTCACTATTAGATGTTACGTTAAATTAACCGACTTGGTATTATATGAATCTTACGAGTTTTAACGATAGAAGAATTTATACTATAAGATTGTCCGACTAATATTTTTTACTTTATTTTGGAGTTTACTCACCCAAAGAAATGTTATCCTTAGCTAACAATTTGTTATAGTTTTGTCTCGGCACTACACACGAAAGCATATTAAACATTTTCTCAGATCTTGCGAATCTCTTGATAAAGAAACTCTTGAATAATGGTTCGGTAATAGCACGATTCGGCATGTATGGCTCGCCGTAAATCTAAAATTGTTTAGAATTTGAAGTATCGAACATAAATATAAAACTAAAAACGTTCATGGGTATATAAGATTAATAATAACAATAAAAATTTCGTCACTTTTCGTTCATTGAAAAAAATATCATTTAAAACGTCAAAATTCTTTACTTTACCTTGTTCATAATAATAATAATCACTGGCGCTACAACCTCTTTAGGTCTGGGCCTCAGATTTCTGAATCTGTTTCATGATTAATTTAATACGCAAGTAGGTGATCAGCCTGACACACGTCGTCGACTTTTTGGGTCTAAGACATGTCGGTTTCCTCACGATGTTTTCCTCACGATTGACACACAAAAATTACTCAAATGATGCTGAATAGTTTTAATATCCAAAAATGATCTTACCCGGACCCTCTGATACATAGGTAATTTAGGTAAAAAGTGTTTGTTTACAACTTCATTGACTATCTGAAAAAAAAAAATTAATGTTCAAATTTGTCCAAATATCTAAATCTAAATAATAAAATTATAATTATTAAACAGTTCATTAATTATTTGATTGAAATGATGTTTATTTAGCAAATAGCGTCTAATATTAAGTGACATCGCCCGCACAATCATATTTACAGAGGGCTCGCAAGTGCGTTGCCGGTCTTTTAAGAATTGGTACGATCATTTCTTGAAGGACCCTAAATCGAAATGGTTCGGAAATACTTCAGTGGGCAGCTGGTTCCAACGTGTTGGTGCGCGGCAAAAACAGCCACAAGAAACGCTCAGTTGTGGAACGACGGGCGTCGTGGTGATACGGGTATGGACTTTTGATTTATCGACAATAGCAAACAGCACTCAGAATAAATAATTGTATAAAGTAAATAAATGTAAATTGTAATAAAGTAAATAAATAATTCAAAAGTTTTATTTCAAATACACGTTTTCTAAGCTATAAAAGTCGTTGAATTGAGACAAATACGTCCATGCTCTAATTCGTCACAACAATCTCGTCTTGTACGCTGTCAAATAAGTCAAAATTCTTACAGAAAAATGGTTTGACAGCTCTCGAAACTAGATTTAAGTTTGACAGGAAATATAATTTTTATGTTACCTGCCATTTTATGTTACTTTCAATTTTGTCATATTAAGTTTTATAATTAAAAGGTACGGACGTTACGTAACAGACACATAGGATTGGTTCAAAGCAATCTTAAATAAAAAATTTGCGCGCCATCGTGTGTGGCAGAATATGCGAACGATTTACGATTGTATCACCTTAACATTTTGTACCATATTCTTGCAATAAATAACTTATTATTATAACTTACATCGGGCAAAAATTGTTCAAGCCTCTTCAGCTGTTGCCTTACTTTTGTTTTAGCCACTCCCACTTCGGGATTTTCCGGATCTTCAACTTCAGTCTTCAATTTATTTATATGCTCGACTACCTGGAATATATTCATTCTCCTTATACATGTATGAAAATTAGAAACAAAACGATTTTACAATTCTTAAAAACCTTTAATATTCACGGCACGCAAAAATTATTAAAATCCTACTAATATTATAAACGCGAAAGTTTGTAACAATGGATGGATGTTTGTTACTCTTTCACGTAAATACTACTGAATGGATTTTAATGAAACTACAATAATATAGCTTATATATCAGAATAACATATAGGCTACAATTTATAAAGATATTGTGTGAATTGTCCAAAATATCAAGTAGAAAAAAATCTACCATCTGCGAGCTATTCTGGCGTGCGCTACCAAAACCGCTAGAGTTACACATATGGAATGTATAATGGAAATGTTTATCTTAAATAGTCCTACAAAAAAGCCCGCCACAGCATATAACTATATCTTAGGTCAAATTAGTGAACCTACCATACTTACAATAAAAATTGATAATTAATTTCAAATGCACATTTGGGAGTAATAAATTGATTCCGAAATGAAAACATATACTTTCTTGATACTTAAAATTGCTTCTGGTATTTATAGTAGATAAAATTTCTTTCACGCTATTATTTTAATCCTGCGCAGACGAAGTCGCGGGCACCAGCTAGTTTAATATAATGTACTAACTAGCAGACCTTAATTACAAATTAAAGATATATGTACTTACATACCGGTTGAACTCCGGGAGTGCCGGCAGAAGTGAAAACTTGAATATTAACGTTGTGCATTTTTGATATTTTGAAATGGTTAGGGAATAATTTTGCACGAATTGCTTTGATTATCAGTATTAAAGTACTATCATTTATGTGGTAGCATACAATATTTATTTATTGGGCTATCATACACAAACATGACAATTTATATTACATTAAATACGCTGCGCCAGCTGTCTACTCTCGATCCGTCTTACGAATTTTCGATCAGGTCACGTGTCCTGACGCGAGTATAACATTTTTTAGCCATTCCAAAAGTGTACAACGCCGCTAAAGAAGTTTTCACTCCAAAAATTGCAACGACATTTACAAATCAATCTTCAAAAATATATGTGACAGCAAAACATTATATTAATATGGGTATGTTATTTTTTTTCAAATATATTATATGGCTTAAACCTTCCCTGAACTTCCACATATTTTAAGATAATTAGCCAAATCAGTCGAGACAAACAAAAAGGACTGATTTTAAAAATTCTTTTGTAAAGTTTACTACAGACTGAATAACATAATTTACTACAGACTGAATAACATAATTTACTACAGACTGAATAACATAATTTACTACAGACTGAATAACATAATTTACTACAGACTGAATAACATAATTTACTACTGACTGAATAACATAATTTACTACAGACTGAATAACATAATTTACTACTGACTGAATAACATAATTTACTACTGACTGAATAACATAATTTACTACAGACTGAATAACATATTTTACTAAAGGCTGTTTTATATTAAAGCGCAAACAAAATTAATGAAAATCATTAAAATATAAACTTTAGTATATAAAAACCTAATTTACCTTCTTCACAATACGAGCGGAATACTTTCTGCAAGTTTCTTGTGCCTTTTCTACCGGAACGTTGCCGATCACTGAAAATTGTTTAAATATCGCCTATATCTTACACATGCTAATTGATCAAAAATATTAAAATCGAGTTATATAAACTGATTTAGTTATTTTCTGATATATTATGAATTAATTTACCAAAATAATTAATAGATCTTGCGACTAGTCTTTAAAAAGCGACTTGGTGTATTACTTCTGGAAAAAATGTACTATATATGATTATTATTATTATTATTACTTGCGTGACACATTATAGTTGATATAAATTTAATAAAGTATGATATGATATGTACGATACAAATAATATAATTGACCTTCACTAATAATGTAAAATGTATAATTCCGCCATTGTGTGTGGCAGAATATGGGATTTACGATTGTACCACCTTCAAATTTTTGTACCATATTCTAGCAATAAATTATTAAGATTATTATAAAACAATCACAAATTTTATAAATTCACGCTTCAAGTCAAAGTTATATATAAATATAGACTTACAAAATTGCTGATTCACAGTAGACATGAGTTCTTTCTCGTTAATTTGCGATCGCGGCAACGCTTCCGCATCTTCGATCCCGTGTAACGTCGCCAACAGTAATTGGAAGTCCCCGAAGTGCGGATACGCCTTTCTGTACGCTAAACTCAAATGAAACGGAGAATCCATCCTTTTAAAAGACGACGCTAATTTTTTTAATCTCTCCGCTATTACCTGGAAAATCAATAAAAATATGTAGTGATGTGCCTGGTGCACATGTTTTTGATATATTGAGGCAACTGTTTGTCTCTCTCTAATCTAAGAACCCTTAGGCCGTTTGTTCACCACCGCCGTCACCGGGGCGTCACCGGAACGTCACCGAGAACGAGATGACGACGCCGATTTAGCAATACATACATTTAATATGGCGATGTGTCCACCGCACGCCCGTCACCCAAGCGCCGTCATCCCGGCCGCCGATGTTTCGAGTAGTTCGGCGTGACCGCAAGAACTCGGCCCGGTTTTATGACGGGCCGATGTGCCGGCTATACAAAACACGTAGGGCATGCATACCACAAAATAGTACCACGTAGTTCGTGTTTTGGAGTGTTATGGCACCGCAACTTGTCGTGAAGTACATAACACGCTCCTGTGATGTATCGTTTACGTATTAGCGGATGAATCCAAAATTATTTGCATCGACTACGCCTTCATACGTACAAAAGTAGCAATTGCGTAGCAAGTAGCAATAGCAATAGAAGAAGCAATTGTCGCAGGTTGAAACTAGCTAAAAAGGAAAACGCGACTACCACGCACGACAAAGCTCCAGAACGGGGCCACTGATATAACGGCGCGGTGGACACATGATCGCCGTCACATCATCTTAAACTCGGTCCGAAATAATCTCGCTCTCGTCCCGTGACGGCGGCGGTGGACTAACGGCCTTAGGCTATATTTTAGAATGTCAAACAAACAAACTGATATGACGTTTGTCGGCGCTGAAGACGAGATAGTGACTTGAAATACAAATTACTATCATTCATAATTAACACTCTTTCACTATATACTTACAATGCATAAATTTTCCATGAGTTTATGATCGGTCTTCTTGCTCAAATTAAACAGTCCAGTATACTTATATTCTAACTCCCGCACCATCTCATTGTGAACATTAATAATAACCTGTAAATATATGCTATATTACAGTTTCATCTTGTATTGCAGTGACAGTATCACTACTATTTGTTTTTTCAATTTTTTTTAAGTGGAAATCTTTGGTTTGACCTCGAGGAACCAAATTACCAAATTTAAGGAAGAAGAAAAAGCTCTTTAGAAGGACACTTTTGAAAATAGTGTTTAATATATTTTGGTTTTTCTTCATAAAGACTAAACCAACACAATGTTTTAATCAAATCATTTCATTTCTAAGCTTTAAAAAAACTAACTTACCTCTTTTGGTGATAGTTCGATTGGAATCTGCATTTTCTTGCGTAGAAGGTCTGGCAAAACCCTAGGTTTCTTTCTCTTCTGTTCCTAAAAAAACGTTATTTACTAACAAGTTATAAAAAACAAAAAAAGTAAACTTTAAGAGTACATTGCTTGTTGTCCTAATAAATTGATCAAGGTCTTTCTGTAATTTTAATTTTATGAATTTCAAACAATTTTTTTTTTATATTTTGAATAATATATAATGGTTAACACAAACCCCATGCATACAAATATATATATAAGTAGAAATTGGACCCAAAATTTCACATCAACTAAAAAGCAGCATGACAACATCCTGCTTTTTAGTTGATGCTTTTTAGCATATCCTGAGTATTTTTATCATGGAGGCCCTGACACATTCCCTGACATCTTTACAATTACAATTCCTACATATTATGACAAAAAACAAGAATTTACATTAAAGTGAAGAAATATATATATAGAATTGATAGTTGAAGTTGAAACCTACTGGTATAGGCTCATTGCAAGGAGTCACCAACAATTTGTAATGACCAAAACTGGCATCGTTAATTTTCTTAATAACATTCTGTAGGTTCAGCCGCGGGGACAACTTAATAAAACATTTCTTGAGGCCCTTTGGAGCTGGTTGCATTGCAACAATCTCAAAATGTCCTCTAACTATCCACGAGAGCTTTCTGACTATTGCTGACCCCGTAATCTGAAACTCGAAAACGTTAGTCGCAGCTGGAAGTTTTTAAACCAAATTATTGTCATTATTTTCGACACAAGTTCGTTTCATACACAGTTTCTAGTTTCCAGAAACAATTACTAAAGGTGTGTTATTACCCGTCCGGGAAAGCCCGTTACTATGATATACTTTTCATCAGCCATATTAATATTGTTTTATAAATAGCAAAGAGTGAAAAGGTGGAGAATAATTTAAACTTGTCCTTTACTTTCAAGTTTCATGGATTCATTGGATTTAATATTTATTTCTACTTTGTTTTTTTTTTTTTTTGTCCTGCCTCCCCACGGTTTGTGCGTCAGCCATGTAAAAAAGTTAGGAAGTGCGTTATTAGATTTATTTTATTGGATTAGAAATTGGAGCGGAATTTGGAAAAGGATCAGATAAATTTATTATATAAGTACATAAATGGTTATAATTTTATATTGTTATGAAAAATAAAACTGGCTAAAATTCTATATACATCCATATTTATATTAGATAATAGGACAGAAATTGAAGTAGGAAGAGGAATTTTAATGGATAAAAGTGAGGAAATAAAAGGGAACGGTCATGTCGAGTGCAGGCGAAGAATATATGATTAAAATCCCCAAGTATTGCCACACTCACAAATATTTATTTCTACTTTGTTGGGCTTAAAGATTTGACAATTGACAATTCACAGATTTGTGAATAGCTAAATTACCATAGAAATTACGTATTCTGTCATGAAAAAATTGTTTATTTCTTACAAAATTATATGATGTATGTAAAAGTGCCCAAGACTTAATTATTCCGAAAAAAAAAAAATCCTATTCCTTTATACGAGTCCCTTTCTGTGCACCTAATAAAAAAATGTCACTATTATCTATAAAACTAACAGACTACGATACAGCTGATGTTAGCTCATAGCTGATTGTTGTCATTTTAGAATTTAGACCATTTTAAGAAAAAACTATTTTAGAAATAAATTAATTCATCGCTATTTATTTGTGCTCATATAACATATTGGAACTGATTGTTATCTTAAATTTAATCTTCCTCATACGCAATTATACAGAAATCTATCCAATATCTTTGATTGGTTTTAATTATTTTATTACAACTTAATCATGTCCAATAATTGTGTAGTAGTAAGCGGTCTCCCAAAAAATGTAAGTTAATTCGTAATATTAATTATAATATTATTTTATCTGTAACAAATCAAATCATTAAAACGTACATTAACCAGGTAAGGAGGCAGAAAATGGTCCATTTTTGAGAAGTTACGTTTTCAAAAAGCCGCCATTACAATTCTGGATCGAGTCGATGAGTTCAGGATCTAATAACTCAAAAGACATGTTAATTCGCTTTGAAACAGAAGCTGCTGCAGATTTTGCTGCAAGAACTCTACAGGATTATCCTTATCAGCACACAGATCAAGATATATACAAGTTAAAATGCTGGATAAAGCATAATGCAGATAATACTAGCGATCCACAAGAATTTGCTGAAGATGTGAAAATTGAGAGGGACGTAATGCCAGTTGAATTTCAGAGACCTTACTCTCCAGTAAGAGAAAGGGATAGGAGCCCTCACTTGCGCGAGGAACTAACAAAACTTGAGGTACTTAAAGGGTTGTATGAAGTTTGGCCACTTACCTATATGTACTACGCTGGACTGGTAAAAGATCTCAAACTCTTGGGCTGATTTGAAAATATATCCATAATAAATATAGCCATATCAGTGCTGGCAGCAATGACTAGTGTACTTGAAAGTAATCTATCTAAGTTTACTTTCAATTACAAATGAGTTTTGGTAGCCATAAAGTATTTTGCAGATGATTTAAACAATAATGAAAAAATATCAACATTATATATGAAAGGAGTTAAAATTAACTGTTTGCACAATTATAAATAAAAAAAAAATATTTAGTGTTTATACCGGCATTATATTAAATATGAATTTTCATTTTTAAAGAGGTTCAACTGTTTGATTTTGCTGGCTTAAATTAATTTTACATCTAGCTGATATCTACCTTATTAATGTACTATATATTACACTAATAGTACAAAACTCTGTCTTGTAGTACTTGGAAATTTTATTATTATTATTTAATATTTGTTCGCAATTCTCTATGAAACATTTAGTTGATACAAGTATTAATTTCTTGTGCCAATTTAAAAGTATACTCAAATAGCTAACATTTAATTTTAAATAGCTAGTCCAGCATATAAAATACAGGTCATTGAGTTTCACTTGTTACTTTAAAAAAGGTAGTAAAAAGTAGTAAATATTATTCTTATTATTATTAAAACTTTAATTTGTTTTTTTTATTCTTTAAGTTGGAGATTGAACTGACAAACAAGAAGCGTATGCTTCTGGAGGCAGAAAGGAACCTATTACTGGAGCAAAAGCGGCTAGAAATGCTACAAGTAAGTCTTTACTTAGTTTGCTTAGTATTCATGAATTTTGTTACAAAACAAATCAATGTTAGTAAAAAATTCATGAGCTGACTATTATCATTAGGAAATTATATACATATTAATTTAAGTACCTGATTTAATCAAGTATGTTAAAAGGTCATAAATTGTTTTTAATTAATCAACCCAATTTCAATCAATTTTAATTAACCCAAATCAAATTACATTTCTGGGAAAAAATGTTTCACAGAAGTCAGGAACACCTGATTTACCCGTGGAGGATTCAACACAATCCTCCACTAGCAGTGCACTTCTCACTGTACCTCCAAAAAAACGAGAACGGAAGCGGCCACAAGACCAAACTCCTCGCTCAGGAGAACCATCAAAAAACCTATACTGGCCTTCCAAAATTCTAATGAAGGATATGCTTCACTGTGTTAGAAGGAATGTAAATCCGGACCAAATACCTTTATTCAATGCTTTATTGCGAAATGTGGTCAGAAAACGCTTAACTGATATCTTAGGTGATGAACCTAATCAGAATACTAAGAAATGCATATCCATGTACCGAATGTTATATCCAAGAGATGTAGACGAAGATTTTGTTATAACCCTGAAAAATTTGATGTTGCAAGGCCAGTTGCCTCCAGAACTTCAGGGTCCTTGTCTCCAATCAGGTATTATTTGTGTGTATGACAAAAATTTATGGTGCATTCGCTTTGATGAAGTTGTGGTAATGTGAAGTAGCTCAAAAGCCCATTTGTTAACAGCAAGGAACCATGCTCCCATAGTTTGTATAGTATATTTTGGCCATAATGAGCTTCAAACTCTTTTGGCATGCAAATTTCGTATTACTCCTTATTTACTCATCAGCTCATGCTCCCCATAGGAGATTGGGGGTAAAATGAGGTAGATGGGAGATAATATTTGAATAGCTTGCTGCCATAAAAACATATCTAACGAGGCTAGGCCAGATTATATGCTATAAAATATTGTTAGGGAGATTTGAAATAGAATATGGCATGTCATTGATAAGAAATTCTCCGCCTCATTGCTGTTTAGGTTAATTGAGCTAACACATTTCACAATATCAATTTAACTCTTCAAATTGCAATAGCAAATTCTATTTACTTTGAAACCTAGGTAGTTAGGATTTACTAGACATATATCGGACAAGAATTTGTTTATTGAAATTAATTTGTGTGTTGATTTGCAGGCACTTCTAATGTTAACATGACAAACACAAGTAACAACATAGATCCAGCCGACTTACCAATTTCAGAACTAAGCAAAGACCTTGATGATTGGACTGAGGATACTGCTGCAAGTGATACTTAGTATTGTTTCCGAATAAGTTGGCCAGAGTCATTAAATTTGCAGAAGTTGTTTTGTAGGTCTCGCCCCACTAACAGAACATGTGCAAGCCCCAGCACACATCTCTGACCATGCCGAGACCATTACAACTAAATAGCTACCGCTAAATTTAGTGAAAGCAATTTTTTAATACAAACAACATATGTTATCTTATTTTGTTATAAGTTGAAAAGTTTATACTTCAGTTTTACGGCATCTTAAATAATATATACTATCTTCTACATTAGAAAAAGTTTTTATTAAATACATTGGCATAAAATATTTTATTTCAATACCCAATATTTTAAATGTGGAACTTTAGGTGAAAACATTTCCGAATAAGTAGATATTTATTCCATATATTTGTGTTTATTGTAATTTTTTACACAAGTAGGTGATCAGACCTATCCTGTAAGAATCCGGACGCGACCACAAAGGCGTTTGAAACAGTCGTGATGCAACTTTGTATGTGCTTATGTGGTTAAAGCTCACCCTGCTCTGCGTAGCGGAAGCTTCTTGAGATCTCAGAGTACAAAAAATATGACCGACTCTCCGTATCCATATTATTACATGGACCCGTAAGATACCTAAATAGGTATACTGATATAGCCAGCAGTTAAATATATAGTACCTAGTACCTACGTCTCTTATAGAGAACGGGGGAATATATTTTGTACTCGCTCTAACATAATGTTAGTATTGAGTACCTATCTAATCGTATCGCATGCAATATCTAAAAAAACAAGTATCTTGGTAATCATACGAATGGAAGCAAAAAAGATCCACTGCCAAGAAACTGCACCATACCTGCTATCCTGAGAACGTGTTTACGAGTTAAAGACCCGAGGTTAGAAAATTATAGAAGCGGTTAATAAACTAAATTGAAGCAATGTAAGGAGCCTCTAGTCCATGTTGACCTTCGCTAAAGAAGATAACATAAAAATCGAATTTTTCGAATTCGTTTTCTGAAAACAGCAATCACAATAGAATCAAAGCTAGATTGAATACTTACGTTTAACCTAAATACATTCATTAGCCCTCTTTATGATACATAAGAGAGGATTCTAGAAGGTATCATCAAGGTACTCCTAGAGTCTAGGAGTACCTTGTTCTAGGACCTAGACAAACACCATGGGGCTAGGGTGTACTCAAAAAGAAGACGCCTTTTGAGCTGGTGTAGGTTTGGAAACTATAAAGCCGAATTTACATTACGAAACTAGTGTTATGCATGTTGGAATGAGTTTCATGAAAATAGTTGCAGCACGTGTGAAACTACTTTAACAAAAAATAATAGTGTCGTGAAATCAACAGTATCACCAACGACATGGCTCTGTCAACATCAAAGCTTCATTTTGCGATGCAGAACGTCGTGGTACAGATGTTAATATATAAAATTCGAAAATTATATTTTTATCAACTGACCAACGTTGGTTTGCCATTTTGGCGGTCATTTAGCTGCACGATGCACTCAAACACACACGTCTGCCCTGTGCAAATGCTTTCGCGACACTAGTTTCGTGTCGCGTTTTCATCGTGAAAGTAGTTGCGTGACATTAGTTTTACAAAAAATATGCGCATGGCACGAAATTTATCCAGTGTCGCGAAACCGATGCATGCATTATGAAACTGTAAATTTACACGTGAAATTGTTGATGAAATTTATGTCATAAAACTAATTCCGAGCCACTAGTTTCGTAATGTAAATTCGGCTTAAGTGTAGTGCTAATAAAACTGAAAAGATTTAATGCAAGTGAACTCTATAAATGTTAATTCTAGGTAAATAGGATAGTTCAATACAGACTTTAAATTAAGTCAAAAACAACACTACTATTTTAAGTTATACTGTTTATTAGCTTAAATAGGCTAGATTACAGTATAAAAACTTAAAAATTAAGTCAAATCTACTCATAGACAACATATATTACTTATGTATACAAAAAATGTTTTATTTATTTTTACGAAGTTGCACTTTGAAATATAATTTAAAAATCTTCCAAATCATCTTCATCTATGTCATCAGCTATACCATCTTCAATGTTTGCGACCTTATCACTGTTCCTAACTTTTTCATTATCCACATCCTCTATTAAGGGTGGTGAATCCTGTTTTTCATCATCGTTTTCAACAATTGTATCAGTAATAGTATATTTATTTTGTTCTGTTTCCCCATCCCTAATTACGACTCCCGTACTCAGATTTTGATCACTAATTATTACGTCATCCTTTTCAAATGTATTAGTAACATCCTTGCTCTGATCACAATTTTTGTTTCCATTTTGAATGTTTTCCATTAGTTTACCCTTTTCTTTATCATTTCCATACTTATCTATATTAGCAGCTGTAACCGAGTTGGAAACATTTTCCTCTCTTTTATCTTCGTTGGTTTCAATTATCTTATGACCTGAGTTTTGGCTGCACGTTTGGATATCCGTAGATTGGATTTTATCTACATCGATAATTTCCTCGACAGTCTCTAGCAAAACAACGTCAGTGTTATTTAAGATATCCTGTTGACACTCAGCTATATCTTTATTGAGTTTTTCATTATCATCATCAGACTCTGATTCGGATTGCTCGACGATCATTTCACCATTCTTTAACGAAGACTTCTTTGGATTTACAACCAAGTGTAAGGGTTTAAAAGTAAGTGTTATGTCACCTGAGAAGAAAATTAATGTAATTTTTTTTTAAACTAGCTTAGTCTCGCTTCTCTTCCCACCTACTAAACTAACTTTGGATGATGCAATTTCGTACACAATAAATACATTGTTTTTGACATCTTTACGTTCAAAGCAATCAATTAACAACTTAAAAAAATATTGTTTTATCAGGTTTGTGTATTACAAGCGACGGAGGCAAAACATCAAATTTACTTTTAAAACTTACCAATTGTTTTTGTTTTTTGTCTGCATAAATTGTCAAATCCTTTATATGTACTACATTGAACAACAAGCATTTTCTTGCGGTCCGAATTCTTCAGGCTAATAACGTCATACTGTTTCAAGAAAACTTCTAAAGATTCTCGTTTTGGTTTTGTCGGCTTGTAGAATATACGTACACCTAGATTCCTTTTAACGTTAAGTAAACGGTTGGTCAAGTGCATCCTTAAGAGCTGAAAAAAACATTTTCATTTTACCAATTCGTGTATAATAATTGTTGTTAATTCACATGTATTGTTATATCCAACAAAAAATACCTTTTTGATTTCGGATACAGCACCCTGCCAAAATTGCCTGTTAGACGCACCTAGTTCTATGTCAACTGCCTTACAACATTCAGTTGCCTGAAAAAAAGTCAGTAAGGGAGCGTTCAAGTATTACGTAACGTATTGGGGGGGGTCCCTTTTGTAAAACGTTACGATGTGGGGCGTTGATTGAATTACACACATAATAGTAACTAAAGAGTCACTAGGTGGTCACGAAACGTTTTACTATACTTGGGTACTGAAAAACGTTACGGCGAGTTACATGGGGGGGGGGGGTCAATAATCTCCAAAAATTGCGTTACGTAATACTTGAACGCTCCCTAATGTGGCTGTGACAAAATTGATCTGAAGCGAGTCCCCACACTAGGGAGCCCCTGTGGGGTGTGTGGCTACAGCTCTTCCATGGTAGATGTTAAAACAAAAGTAAATTATAATAATATGTGTGTTTTATCTTTTATATATAAAAAAATACATATTCAAGAGTTATAGATGCGAACTACCATCAGTTTAAGAATTAGATATTTTGAATAAGATAGTTTATATACCCATTAAAAAACTTTAAAGCGTGTCTCTCATACATCAAAGACAATCTTAGTTTCAATTTCAATTGTTTTATAGACAATTACAGATAATACAAGTATTTTCAGAAGTAAACTTGTTACCCTAACGAAATCTGATTTATATGCAAAAAAATTAACCTTACCATATTCTCTATCTCGTTCGTATGATCCTTGACTATTGATTTATATGGTTCCGACAAATCCAATATCACACCAAGTTTGTCGGCCTGCTTTTGTTCTGTGAATTTTTAGTAAAACGTTACAAACTAAACATTAAACTTATAAAACAAAGGACATCGCTATCAAATTTGGATGGTTTTTGTTAACCCCAAAATTGATTGATGCTAGATCAAAATTTTCATCCTTGCTACTCAAAAAGGTTAAATTGCATGTTCGCAACAAAATAATTAACTTTTTTTTAATAATAATAATTCAATAGCGCTAAAACTCAATATACTCAGCCTTTATATAGTTAAACTCATAGTATTGTCTTTGGTTAACATAACTTTTATTCATTTAATAAAACACTATTTTGACCGGATTGAAGTTATGTATTATTATAAATTTACAACTATTTAACATAATTTTAAATTTATCCGACGTTTCGCGTGCTTTACAGCGTGCGTGGTCAAACTTCAATCCGGTCAAACTTCAATCCGGTCAAAATAGTGTTTTATTAGTTAAACTCAAGTTAGCCTTCTGTGTAGAAAGAAAAAAAAGGAAAACTTTATTATACACAGTAACAGAATACACTAGGATTCCCTGTGCCATACTGGTACAAATGATCTACTATTTTGTGGCACTATTAATTCCCGCTCTATTACTAGGATCGAAACGAGATTTTTTTCTATATTAAGGGCATTGGATTCCATCTATAGAAAACACGAAAATTTTTCTCGTAAGAATAAAAATTGTACTCACTTTTAAAAAGATTCTTATCTGAAAAAAAAAACAAAATATAAGTAAATATACAGTTCCTAAGTACCGGCCTTCATTTAATCAACGAAAATAAATAATTTGGAATGGTACCATAATATTGTCTGGGTTTCCTAGTTAATATTTGTGTCGGATTGGAAGGCATAACAGCCTATTAAAAAAAAAAATTATATTAAAATTTGATAATCATTAAATCTTACCATTAAGAGGGTACTTGGGTAGTTTAATATCAGCTACGACCCGTGTCGGTGTTTTTGACAGTAGGTTCACGTTTGCTGGAATTGTGAAAAATATTACATCACATAACAATAATAATTTATTTCATGAACAACAAATCGATTGGTCCCTTGGTCTTTTCCTTTCTACAGTAAAATATTGGGTGACAAAGTTTCACGCCCCGGGGAGAAACCGTCGAAGACATCGACGATGAAGGACGGTGTGGAAGTGTTGACAACTTAAACTATTGCTCAGATAGAACAGGATTTAAATGACAGCCGTTTAAAGATTAGAGAAATTGAAGCTAGATTTGAGCTTAGTATTAGTGAAGATTATTTTGAAAGAAACGGTTATATTGTACTGTTTCATTTATTTTAATTAGTCTGTCCATAAATACATTAAAACTTTTATATTTTTCAACTTTTTAAGTATTTGGAACACTTAAATTATTGTATAAACTTCTTTCGATTTTGCGCCATTTCATATATTTTTTCGTGTTCATTATCAAATTACAATATGATTCCATATTGTAATGTGGGAGTATAGGAGTGTTAAAGAAAATAGGATTGCAGTGATCGCCTTTCACAAAGTGGGTGTGGAGCCGTCGGTCATACTCCAGACACTTTAAAAGCTTGGTATCCAGCCGTATGTTCGTATATCGTACTAACAACACTTCGTCTGAAACCGCGTGCTGTTAGAACTACAAAGGCTGTTAATGCTGTTAAAGCCAGAATTGGAAATTTCGAATAGAATTTTTGTTTATTTTTTGCCGAGACATTAATAAATAAGTAGGTATAAATTTTAATAATATTACATTACTTCAATAAAAAAAATGCATTTTCATTTGTAACAGAACTTATGGCTGAACTAATTTATAGGCCAGTTTATTTTGGGACCACCTAGTACGACAACCAAATACTGCGAACCTCGCTGACGCCTCCCGCCCCCCCCGCACCCCGCCCCGTTTTCGCCTATCCAGTACCGTTGCCAACGCAATCGCCGACGCCGCACGTGTATTATTCTTGCTTTCGTAATCGCATTTTAGTGTTTATTGTTTCTCTGTTTGGGTGTTTCCCCGCCCCCCCGAAATATTACATAAACTACCTATTTAGTGCTGTATGTAAGATGGGTAGGTACGAGTATCAATAAAAATAAGTACACAAATAAAATATTTTTTATTTTTACATCTTCAATTTTTTGCTATCTCTCCAGTTTGTATGACGTCATTAAGCCAGGTTCGCGATATTTCCACGACTGTATGGGTTTTATCTTAGACAAAAATATATTCCAACATCTAGGGAAATTAATTAACTAAATAATACATAACAATGTGTCATCAGAAGTTTTGAAAACTCGGTTATTAATTAATATTTTGTTGTTTTTATAAAATACCTTTATCAGTCACTCTTAAGTATGAAACTGAAGTATAATTAACAGTATTCGTAAACTGTATAGTGCATATGCAAGCTTTTATTTTTTCCACCACGCTAGGCAGAATAGCCTTGCCTGGTATTAATAGAAGTCCTAACCTTCGACTTGTACTTCTAACTTAACTCGGCCGGCAAAACTGAATTTGTATCTTATTTTCTCTCGGAGAGATGGGCTTTTCCGAAGTAAGTACTTACTAAATTTAGTAAGTCACTTACTATGTTACAAAATTTTCGGCCGACAAAAAAGTCTAACGCATAGTATGCTTAATATACACCCATTTTGGTTATTGTTGATGTAAACAAACACAGGAACAGACCTGTCATTGTTCAGATATGTACGGATATGACATAAACCGTGTTTTGTGTTATGTTAATAAGCCAGTAAGTCGTCGATACAGTCAGCTTGTAAGACTTTAATTTTTTATGCTTACTGGCTTACTAAGTTTAGTAAGTACTTACTTCGGCCAAACACGCCCATTCTATGTTTGACTTATTTAAATTTGACGCATTCTTTTTTAAATTATTATATTCAATGTCATGGTCACGAGAATATAGGAGGAGACTCCAGTCAGTCAATTTGACAACATTGCATTATAAAGGCTCCATAAAAATATAAAGTATCGTTCGGCAACAGCACAACATTGGGTGTTGAGATTAGGAAGTACGTTGCTTCAGTTTTAAGAAGTGATACCCTCAATCTTGACGGCCCCAAATTCGCTTTGGAAATACCGTGACTGGCAGCGACTTTCACAAAGTGATGATGATGAATACGAGTTTCACTTAACACCGATGATGAATATTGCCGAACAGTTTTCCGAAAAGAACCTACTAAATAGGAGCTGGTCTTGAAGAGATACCACCCAGAGATAAGAATAAAGGATCTATCACGTTTAGGTAAAAAAAAGCTTACTGCTATTTCGTACCATGAACGCATAAAGCGGAAGGCAACGTAATCCCATGACTCAAACTGGTCAGCGGCCAAGTGAGTACCAAATCAGGTTGTGTTTTTCCTATGTTTAAGAAAATAGGTAAAAATACACATTTTAAACCTGTAATATGACGTTACTTTTGTAAGTGCAACGTCACGGGCAATGGCCAATTGCAAGTCAGCGAGAGTCACTTGGTACAAATTAAACCCTGATAAGTTCCGCTTAAGTTTACCTGAACGGAAACCTTATTCCGTTCGCGGTCAGAGCCCAGTACTCCTATGCAGGGGCGGAAGGGCGCTTTATAGACTATCGAACATAAGAAACTTTAGGCTAATTGTGTATTTAACTTGTGAATATATCTTCACGTTAATGCAAAGTCGATTCTTACTGTTTAATACAGTACAAATGAAAACCGAATTGTTTTCAAGTGTTCACACTTGACAATGTTAACTTAAGGCGGATTTATATTTGTCTGACGTGTGGAGCGACATTCGCCTTCCGACGAAGCGATTTCGTTTCGGAGCGACGGCTTTTTGGTGTAACGCCACCATCACGACACGACAGAACATTTTGCACTCGCTAGTACTGATCTGCCACGTCAGTCGTTCGTTTCCAAGAACTGGCGCTGTATTGATCCATAATACTGTCCAAAGTCACCACGAAGGACTTTAAACGCTAGACAGATAAATATAAACCCACCTTTGCTTTTTCCTTTAAAATAAAATGTCTGATGTTATTTCATTATATAACTGCGAAATAACATCAGGGAATAAATACCTGGCGGAGTTTTCTTATTCTGTGTCACTGGTTTGATGCTATGCGGGGTCTTAGTTGGCACAAAACTCGGGCAGGTCGACACAGGTTCAGATACGTTTGGAGTCTGAGCTTGAGGAGCTACCACAGTTGCAGCATCGGACTTCACACTGTCGGATGATGGCTTTTCGAATTTTGTTTTACTCTCTGATATCACTCGAATGGCTTCATAAAGCTCATTATTTTGATCAGGGTTGAAGTTTTTGTTGTATTCAGTTATTATCTCATCCATTGTATTCGCTAAGTTATTGCCGTATACCATATTAATACGATTCAGGATGCATTTTTTCAGTTCAACAAAAATGACACGATTCTCTTTGGGACATTTCCCAGCAGACTCTAATACTTGCTTTGCCACGCTTGACGAAACTTGTTGTACCCAAGTGGTGTGTCTGTTCAGTCTCTTAGGCAAAGATGTTGGAGCGGTCATTTTTGTAGAAACTATTGTATTCGGTTTAAATTTTTTATAAGGCTCTTCCGTTGATGGTCGTACGTTAAGTTTTTCCTCTTTATGATCATATTTCCGTTTCAGAGTGTTATCTTGGTAGGATTTACGTGGCTGGGTAGTATTTCTATCTTGGTTATTCGTTTGACTTTTGTGTATACGACCAAAACTACCTGATGCACGCTGCGAAGACGCATTAAACTTGTTACTTGAGTTTGAGCGTTTAAGGATCTGTTCATTCTTTTTAAATTCCTCTTTTATTGACGAGGAATTTTTAAACTGTTCATTTTTCACTGAAACTATTAATTGTTCATGCACGTTTTGGTTATTAGACTCCCACTCTCGTTGATTGCGTACGTGAGTATCCCATCGAGATTCACGTAAGTTGTCGGTATCTGCTTTACCATAGTTGCGATTACGAGCTGAATCGTGGCAACTGAAAGTGGGTCGAGCATCCTGACCCCGATGTTTATCACTACTTGTATTATGATCATGATGTTCAAAACGATCACGATTTTCATGGCGATCACGAATTTCACAGCGATCACGATTTCCGTCGCGATGACGATTTCCGTCGCGATCACGAATTACGTCGCGATCCCGATTTCCATCGCGATCAAGATTTCCGTCGCGATGTCGATTTCCGTCGCGATCACGATTTGTATCGCGATCAAGATTTCCGTCGCGATCACGATTTCTGTCGCGATCCCGATTTCCGTCGCGATCACGATTTGTATCGCGATCAAGATTTAGGTCGCGATCACGATTTCTGTCGCGATCCCGATTTCCGTCGCGATCCCAATTTCCGTCGCGATCACGATTTACGTCGCGATCCCGATTTCCGTCGCGATCACGAATTACGTCGCGATCACGATTTCTGTCGCGATTCCGATTTCCGTCGTGATCACGATTTCTGTCGCAATCACGATTCGTATCGCGCACCCGATTCCCGTGACGATCACGATTTGCATTACCAGAGCGATCAGGATTTACCCTACGATCACGATCTACTAGGGCATGATATTGTTGTTCATTACGACTTCTATTGCCATTACTATGATCGCCACGGTTACGATTATCATCTATTTTTCCACTAGCATCACGATTTACGCGGCCATCTTGGTTAGTACTATAAGAAGTTTTCGACTGCGAAAACCAATTATACTCCTTATCAAAAGATGCAGCTTGAGTTGTTTTTTCCGGGTAAGAAATGTTTTGATGTTGAATGTCTCCTCTTCTATCTTGTCTGACAGATGCACAAGCATCAAGTGCAAAGGCCGATGCCTTCGGACTTTTCAAGGACTGTTGTTGGTAAAAAGGAATATTATTTTGATAAGTCCCAATATTTGCAGACCACTGCACTTGATCTTGTTCTGAAGTCATTGTAGGAGCCTGCGAATTAATATTTATGATATAAACAATAATATTAGATGTAAAATAATATGCTGCACCTGCTTAACTTATAATGGTTTAACAAGATGCTCAATCAAATCCTGTCTTTTGTTTATTATATAAACTTGATTCTTATTTCAATGCTTTTGGATTTTTTCATATCAATGAAAATACTTTGCTTCCATATGTGCTTGCAACAGACTAGTTGCCTTTTTATTCAGAAGCAAAATAATACAACACAACCTTAAAGGCCATAATTGACTGAGAGCCTTTGAACCAGTTAGTGTCTTATCATAAACCACACATTACACCACCAACTGGCGTGATGGTAAATACACATGTCGAAGAATTTAACAAAAATCTACCACAAGACATGATATTCTTACTTTCAGGCTTAGCGTTCAAGTATTACGTAACGATATTTTTTTTTCCTATTGTAAAACGTTACGATGCGGGGCGGGGATTGAATTACGCGTTACTGTTATTATTTTCTACTTACACCACATAATAGTAACTAAAGAGTCACTAGGTGGTCATGAAACGTTTTACTAGACTTGGGTACAGTACTGTACTTGGGTACTGAAAAACGTTACGGCGAGTTCATGGGGGGTCAATAATCTTCAAAAATTGCGTTACGTAATACTTGAACGCTCCCTTACCTCAGATTTGGCTGCATTCTTATTATTTACAAGTGTGAATTTTGTCTTCTATATAATTATAACAAAACAAATAGTAGCTGTAGTATAGAATTTAAAAACCTAATTTACTTTACAATTAGATATTAACTTTGCATACGGCTACTTTATTTCTTTTTTGGTATATTTTACATGCAAGGTAAATAAAACCTCTATGTGCAAAATTATTTACTAAATTATCTATTTTTATTTTAATATTTTTTTTAACACATACCACTTTCTGTTGAGTAGCACTTTTCTGTGCAATCGAAAAGTCTGGACAAGGTGGTCCAACTCTATCATAAACTGATGTTCTTTGATCATACTGGTTCATTACATCCTAGAACAAACAAATGTTTTTATTTACATATTACGGAATATAGTATATTTCATTACAAGTGCGGAAAGCCTGTCATTGCAAAGAGTTTCGACAAATGTCTACCCGAGCCGAGGCGCAGCCGAAGGTGAGGGTTGACAGTCGGAACAAGTTGCAATGACGGTTCCGCACGTGTACTGAACAACTATTTTTAATACAGTTGCGAAAAAATTATGCAATTTAATAAAATAATAAAAAAACAATAAACTCAACTCACTAATCATTTATTTCTTATACAAATTATTGTTCACATATACATTGGTACAGTTTTTTATACTAACTGGAGAAGTTTTAGGTTGCATATTTATTTACTGTTTGAGACAAACTATTATTTATTTCGTATGATTTTTCATGTATATTTAATATATAATATAACAAACAACTAAACGCGCAAAGAACATTTTTGGAAAATGGCGCCAACCGTAAAAGAATATAAGCAGATTTTTTTTTTCTTCGCCCATTCTGGGTAGGCAAAGGGACCAAGTCTTCAGTACAATTTTTTATTGATATGAAATGAAATTTAAGGAGATGAAATGAAATCTAACCTAACTCATTGAATTAAATCATTAAATCTTATATTGAAACAAAGCAGTAGCTTCTTTTTAGAAATATTTGCATGAATCATAAAAATTTCTATGAATTTTTTTTAGTAAAAACTTCGTTTGTTTTTTTCTTTTTAATAGACATTATTTTGACAGTTGGGAAAGAAAACGCACTAGTTCGAAAAAGGAAAAAAAAAAAGCACGAGTGTGTAATAGCCCACATCCCGAACGCTATACGTCCCTGCAATACGCCACTTTTTGAGCAACTGTATTAAAAAATACTTATAGTAATTAATGATAAAAAGGTGCATGTTTTAATTATCCCTAAAATAACACATGAAAGTTGATTGTAGTTAATTTTTTGAATGAGCTGTATCTAATATAACAGTAAATGTTTCATTTTGGCAATTATTGTATTGTGGTATATGAAATGACCATGATAAATATAATGTGATTCAAAAATAGCTATAGAAAACATACAATGGGATATCCTGTGTATAAGCAAGATGAGAAGTATAGTCGACAAAATTTATTAAAAGACATACCGGTATTTGTTGTGGAGCACATTTCTGTGTAATCGAAAAATCTTCAGAATGTGGTCCTATTCTGTCATAAATTGATGTTCTTTGATCATACTGGCTAGTTACAGGCTGATTAAAAACAAACAAATGTTTTTATATACTTATTACGTTATAGACTTATAGTAATTAATGATCAAAATTTTCATTTTTTAATAATCCCAATATAAAAAATAAAGATAGTGACATGTTGAAAAGAAATTTGATTGGATTGATTTTTTGTGAGTGAGCTGTATCTAGTATAACGGCAAGTTTAATTCTGGCAATTATTTAAATATGGTATATGAAATATTATAGACCATGAAAAATACAATATATATATTTAATTTCCACAGAAGGGACAGGACTCACATAACTATTCATCTGCTGATAATTATATTGATTAAATTGCTGTTGTTGCATACTCCATGGTAATTGGTTGTTCCAGGAATTCACTCTAGTCTGGTCAGTGGGAAAATTATTTAGCTGCTGGCTTTGAATTTCCTAAAATTATGATTCAATATGTTAAAGAATACACGTGATCCTACTGATGCACAAAAGCATAATAAGCAAACTTAATCAATTATATTAAATTTCAAAGAATAACTCTTACCCCTGATTTACCGACAGTCGTCACATGCAAAATATGCCCCGAGAGGCAGTAACCATTCAAATTTTTCATGACCTGGTTACCCTCGCTATCATTTGCTAAGCCAACACGAACTTTCTTCAAACCATTCCCATCAGGTGCTAAATTATCCAAAATAAAGTCCGTAATTTTACATTCTTGTATAATTACTGCTCTAAGATCTTGAGATTTGGTCTGCAAATAAAGTGGAAAGTAATAAGTAAAGTCACTGAGTAACATGTAAATCATTAAAATTAAACTTACGTTTGTTGGCAGACCATGGATTGTTATCATCATTTTTAATAAAAAACGTATGGATTATTTGCTAAAATAATAATTAATATAGGAATGGAAGAAATCTATAAAGTATAAACATAATTTGAAATATTGTAATAATATGTCATAGATTATATATACCACCTGCGGCGACACAGGCATCAGAGTTCAGACTACATGTCACATGATAGAACACATTGTAGCGAATCGTAGATACGCACTAAAAATGTACATACTATTTTGTGTAGTATTTTCTATAAGATTTTGATGCATGTGGCAACATAAAGATAGGACACCAATGGTGCGTTCCACTAAGCGTTCACAACGCTCACGCTCACGACCGCTGATTTCCCCATTCCACTTGATTGTGAATGTTACTGTCGTTAACTCAAGTGGAATGGATTATGGAGCGTTTCGGGCGTTCATGTAAATATTACAGTCAGTTGCAAAAATTACATCTACAAATAAAATAAATTTACCAAATATATATTTATATTATTAATGATAATAAATATCGTTTACATTGAGTTAGGTTATGCTATCCATTATTCAGGAAAAATGTATAAATAGCTGTTGAATATAAACTAAAATCAATTGTATTAAACTTATATTGCATAATTATATTTACCTCTTTCTGCACGAGCAGCTTCAGTTTCAGAAACGATAGCTTCTACTACAATTTCTCTTTCAGAATAATATAATGTTATTTTTCTTGTCGCCATCTTTAAGCTTTGAATATCATACATATTTCAAAAACAATTTCAAAAATTGCGCCGAATTATTCGCAACGTTCACTTTGACCCACCTCTTTAGATGGGTTGTTGTGAGCCTTGCGTGAGCATTAGTCATGACGTCATGAGTGACGTTTTCGCCGTGACCACAACGACCGCGGTCGGTATGTGGAATGGCTAAAGGAGAATTTTGATCGTCGTGAGCGCTTAGTGGAACGCACCATAAGAAAAGAAGAAAAGACGTCACTCAGACTTTTAAGACGAGTGATATATACTGCTCAAAACAATTAGCGGAACAAGATTTTTCTCCTTTCTAAAGGCTAAACTAAAATTTGATTTAAATTAACTTGTACGCTATTTTTTACCTTGTTAATTTGTTAATTACTACAATTAATAAAAAAATTCAATTTGTATTTTTTTTATTAAAAAAAAATTAAAATGTGCATTGTAGACGAAAAACTAATTGGTGATAAAAAAGGTCCATCAAAGAAATATTCTTATATCGTTTGAATATTCGTCTTTAGTGACTTTCAGTAACGTGTGTGGCCTCCATGAGCCCTAATCACGGCTTGACAACGATGCGGCATGCTTCGTATGATCCTCCGAATATCTTCTTGTGGGATTCGCTCCCATTCTTCAATCAACGCTTCAGTGAGCTGCTGCAGTGTTTGAGGTGCAATCGGACGCTTCCGGATGCGCCTGTCAAGCAAGTCCCAAATGTGTTCAATTGGATTTAGGTCAGGGCTCATGGAAGACCACTCCATTACACGGATTTCCTGCTGTCATAAGTAATCTGACGTGATGGCTGCAGTATGCGGCCTGGCATTATCTTGCATTAAAAGATAAATCTGGGCCCATACCATATGCTGCGGGCCAAACATGATCTTCGAGCACATTTTCAATGTAAGTTTGAGCACACAAGCGCCCGGGAACAACGACGAGATCTGTGCGCTCGTCCAAACTAACTCCACCCCAAACCATCACAGAGCCACATCCAAATTTGTCATATTCCTGGACTGCTGCTGCACTGTATCGCTCGCCTGGGCGTCTGTAAACACGGAGACGACCATCGCAACGTGTTAGACGGAATCGTGATTCGTCAGTAAAAATCACTGGCCTCCAATGTCGAAGTTGCCAATAAGCATGATTTTGCGCGAACTGTCGGCGAGCTTGTCTATGTTGAATTGTTAGACGCACAGCCCGAACTGGTCGGCGTGATCTCAAATTGGCTTCCAACAATCTATTTCTTACCGTCTGGTCGGAAATTTCTACACCAGTAGCCGTCCTTAGTGTATTTTGTAGATCTCTTGCAGTTGTGGTGCGGTTACGTAAAGCACAGTTGACGATGTAGCGATCTTGCAAACGTGTAGTTTTTCTCTTTCGACCTTGACCACGCCTTCGTGAGTATTCTCCCGTCTCACGGTATCGCTTCCAAAGTCTGTTGATAACAGAAGGGGCTACTCCTAGATCATTTCCTACATAACGCATAGTTCGACCCTCTTCAAGCAAAGCGATAGCTCGGGAGACATGCAAATCAGTCAGATCTGGCATTATGACCTAAACTCACTCGCTTCAATGAATAACAATACTCAAAAGGCTCACTTCAATTTCTATTAATACTCAAAAGATTGAAAAAAACTACTTAAAATGTGTTTTCTGTGATTAGAAAGTAATGAAAATTCAAAGACGTCACTTTGTTTTTCGTCTACAATGCACATTTTAATTTTTTTTTAATAAAAAAAATACAAATTGAATTTTTTTATTAATTGTAGTAATTAACAAATTAACAAGGTAAAAAATAGCGTACAAGTTAATTTAAATCTAATTTTAGTTTAAGCAATAGAAAGGTGAAAAATCTTGTTCCGCTAATTGTTTTGAGCAGTATATATGGTTTTTCCTGGAGGTTTGTAAAGAATAAATCAATTCACAAAGATAAAAATGGGTTATACATACATACTAAGCAGACTGCAGAGTCAAGGGTGTAGAGCAGTGATGCCTACAAAACTTTCTATACAATTTAAATTAATAATCGAACCCAACCAACAAACTATACTACATATAAACACCAATCACAGCTATAGTTCATACATAGGTAGAAAAAAAAGCTCTAAAACCAATGAATGAAAAGAAAATGAGGAAAAAGCAAAAAAATATATCTTAATAAAAGTTGTGAAAAACTTAAAAACATTTTTACACTTTAGTTGAAATATATTTATTTATTTACACTTTATTACCTTTTACAAAAACATAAATAAAAAAAACAGGTTACATAAGTTATAAGGCCATGGGCAGCCTTATCGCAAACAAGCGATTTCTTCCAGGCAACTCTAATATGGAACAATAAAAAAGAAACACCTAACAGAAACTTTTGAGATCACGCAAAAGCATGGCGGAGAAACACTGTTTTGTCGACATTGTGTACACATTAAATGGACGTTGACTTTCGTAGGTTATCTAGTGTCTTTTCGTAGCACTGTCATAGCGTCGCTTATTGTATCCCGTCTCACGCCTTTTGGGACTAGCCTACCGAAATATATACTAATATCTAGTATTGTTTTATGTTTACACGAACTGTCAATTTCATACAAATTTACTTTTCGATTTTAACATTACGACTTATACATTAAGGCGACATTTATTATACGTTAAGACTTAAGGTATCTTGTCTCATAAAATCTTTAAAATAAATCAATATTATCTGTAATCTGTGACTACTCTACTGACTATGAGCATTGAGCATTTCAATTCTGTGTTAAAATTTTCGGATTTAATGAAAATATCTTATACTTTTTATTAGAGAAATATATCTATAGATTTTTAAGATTATCTTTGTATAAGATGTTAATTGTATTTGCGCTTTGAAAAAATATTAGTGTAGTCAAGATGATGATAACAATCCATGGTTTACCATCAAACGTAAGTTCGAAGTTATTTAATTTTGTGTCACAATTGTTTCTTAATTGGCACAATATTATTTCTTTGCAGGTGAAATATCATGATCTTAAAGCAGTTATTAAGCAAGAATGCAATGTCACGGATTTCATTTTGGATAATCTTCTACCTGAAGGAAATGGTTTGAAGAAAGTTCGCATGGGCTTAGCAAATGATAGTGAAGGAAACCATTTAATAAAGATTTTGAATGGTTATAATTTCTCAGGGTATATTCTGCAAGTCACCGCCTTCAATAAACCTGCGGTAAGTTGTCTTTACCTTATAAGTAAAAGTATGTATTATTATTCCATTATTTTAAACTTATAACCTCTTAATCTCCTATTATTACTCAATATGCTTTTATCCACCATTTAAATCAACGCCACGTCCAAATTAAATAAACCATATATGTTTAGTTACCAAAATATTGTGTCATTATTAGAGCTTTCAAAGCGAGCAGCAAAATGCATTCCCTGACTACTCAAGAGTGGATCCCTGGAACAACCAAGCACAGTGGAGTAGTGCTCAGCAACAACAGCAGAATCAACATAATTACCAGCAAATTAATAGCTACGCTCCTTCGGTATAATAGTTATTTTAATATGATCTATTTAAATAAATAAATTTAAAATTTTCTTTACACAGAAAGTTTATTATAATGATTGTAATTTTTGAAAAATACATTTATTGTATGTTTTTTGGTAATATGATGTAGAATTAAAAAATAATTGCTTATATTATTATTTCAGTAGTTTTCTTGTTATCTTCTTATCTTAATGTTATGAAAATTATGAAGCTATATACTAGTTGTATAGTTGCAAAGTAGAATTTAGAATTTGCAATAAAACATCTTAAATTGTAAAGAATAACATTGTTTGTTTCTTCTAGAATGTCATTAATCAACCTCCAAGGGCCCAATACGATCAAAGAACATCAATCCTTGATAGAATTGGTCCACCTTCTCAAGGTTTTCCAGTTACTTCAAAAACTTCTCCACACACAGTGGTAAGTATTTTTTATTAAAATAAAAATTGTAGGTACTTACACACTCATTCTTTAATTAATGTATGTAAAACATAAACATCCCATATACATAATGAAATTTTTTGCCTCCTATTTAAGAAATAAATGATGTACTTTTATTATCTAAACAATACATTGACTTTGTCTATGTAACATTTCTATTTAAAATTTGTTTGAGGCAAGGAGGCAATGAAAATTCTATGCCTACAAGTTAGCATGTAACAATAATTATTGTTTGGCCAGGAATCAAGTCAAACATCTTCATATACAACTAAGCTAGCTCTACCAATGCATTTTCGCTTATTTTAAAAGATTGCACTTGTTCAGTAGATCCCC